TCTATGTTCAGATGAGAAGGTTAATGCGCATATTTGTGTGTGTTTATTATTCTGTCTTGTTCATGTGTGTCTCCGTGCATCTGTTGGACTGAGCAGGTTAATGCTGGTTGACACATGCGGTTCACTGATCTCCTAGAGGAGTCGAGACTTGCAGCAAAACCTTCACACACAGGTATCCATGGCAACCACAAAAATTATATTTCTTCCTTCCCTGGCAAGCCGGAGATTCCAAGATGCTGAAATGCACAAATACATTGTCATTACCCGGCAGCCTCATACTTAACAGGGTTAGGCTTTTTCTGCCTGCTGTTCTCATTGTTCAGTGTGTTGCCTACACATGTAATTTAGAAATTCCTCTTGTTACCTTTCCCAGACAGAAACTCCATATTATCTTTACATGCAGGGCTGGTGCTTCTTTCTATGCCCATGTGAGGCTGCTTTATTGATAATTCTTTCCATCCATATCCATTATTGTGTTTCTGTTTTACATTCTTACATATTTTTGTTCTCAACTTGGATCTGAGATTCTAAATATTAGATTTTGTCAATGAATTGAAGTTACGGTAGTGAGATTGGCAGGACATTATCAAATATTCATGTCACTTTACATGTACTCGTGCTACTTTGGTTACTTGTGTGGATTGAGGGCCTTGGAGTAGCATTGATTGACAGATGATGGGGAAAAAAAGCTCTGTTGTACTCCACTATCTTCCTCTGTTGTTGCTGACAACTTCTGCTTGATTGCACAATGATCAGAGGCTTATATAACGGTGCATATTTATGGAACTTAGTCTTTAGCCTGAGCTCTAACAATATATAACGTAATATCTATACACCATATTGTTGGTACAAAAAGACATAAAAGACACAGAAAAACAAAGACTACACTATTGTTAGCAATGTAATATGGATCTGCTGGAGACAAAACCAAATGTGAACATTTTGAATTTGATATTTATCTTAAAATGATTTTTAGTAACTTCAATTATTACAGTGAACAGACTTTACAATTGTCTGTTACGTTATTGAAATGTTCATTTCTCAGCTTGTACACCACACAACAAATATATTTCTCTACAGTCCTCTTAAAAAGTGCACATGACTATATTGTACCAATAGGTGTATTAGTACCCGGGCCAAGCGCATGTCTCCTTTTTCATCTCTTTGAGGGGAAATAGGAGTAAGCACATTGTGTCCTGCACCACATTCCTGAACAAGCAGAGGTTCAATCACATTTGCAGAAGTTATCAAAACTTTCAAAGAGCTCAGCTGGCGCCTTAAGCCACAGGAAATTCACTGGGACATCTGGAGGGATGTGTGCAGATTATTGCTCATTTAGTCTGTTCTAGACATCAGTAGGAAGAGGACTGAGATGGCTAAACACACGCACAGACCGGAGGATGCACACACTCACACAAACAGGCTTGGCTTTGGCAGATCTTACCCCAGGCGCACCACAACACACCTGTGTATAATCCCCCATGATGCCCTCTGGTCGTTTGTCCAATCCCCTCGCTACTCCTGTCCCAGCTCCAATCCAATCAGAGGACAGGTCAGGTAAAGTTTGCTTCCATCGCTTTAGCCCCATGTTTGAGTAAGAGGATGTGAAATATAAAATAAGTTGGGGAAAAAAAAAAATACATTGCTGTGGTGTCTGTTTGGTGTTTTTATTTGATGAGGTCAAATACCTCACTTGTCCAGTCATTTTTTAACACCACAATTTAACGTTCAGTCAGTAAGCTTCTAGAAAAAACTTCTTGGTTAGAAAAAAGTGATGATCAGATCAAACAGATTTATAATGTGTGCAATAAAAAAACAGTTTTTTATAATATTTTAAAAAGTGTATTTGCCATTAATATCAACAATTTCTTACAGTATGAATACCAATAGATGAAAATAACCATCCACCAAATTATTAAAAATGGGTTCATGAAGGTAGATAGATGGATAGATAGATAGACATGCAGGAGAAGAGGATTTATAATATTGTGCTTATGTGAGTCTCCCCTCTACACCTGTGAGGCAATATCTCTTTTTCTGATGTGGAGTAGGAGGATACAGCCTACATTTAAACTTTTTTAAGTTATACAGAAGAATAACCTTTATCGACGTGCATCATGAGATACAGGACTTTTTAGTGTATTTTCTTGATCTTTGTATTTGCTCTTCCAAACTACGCATATTGAGGTGAACATATAGATCCATATAGATCCCAAATTATCCTGGGTCTTGAGAACATAAAAGGAAAGGCCAAACTCTATATATTCCCAAACCAGTACAGCTCCATCTTTCTCAAGGTGTGAAATGCAACCAGACAAAACCTCAACACCACGATAAAAGCTCAGGAAATTACTTCCTTATTTTAGGTGTGATTGATTGTCCCCCTGACCTGTTAGACTGAAGAGGTGGTTAAGAAGAGGAGGCAGACTAAGATAATTGGGCCCGGTGGTATCCAAAGCCCGGCAGGTGTTGAAAGAACTCTCATAACACAGGTACCTGCAGCGGCTGCAGCCCTGAACTCAAGCACACCTAGGATTTCACTACCTTGGAGGAATTTTGGTGTTTTATGTTTGGCATGTCTTTTATTGAATAGATGAAATATGAGAGATACTTGTAACTCCAATTGACATATTGGACATGCCACAAGGAAAGAAAATATACAGGTGTCAAAAATCCTCTGAGGTATCAACAAATAAATGGAGCATTTTTTTGTTTCATCTTTTCTTGGCATGAAAATAATGTCATTCTCTCTTTGAAAGTGATGTCAGTTGTTGGAAATATCTCCCCATTACAAGAGGGATGTAATTCCCTTACCTGTTGAAAAGTAAGTAAAAGCTTACACCATGAGCAAAAGGATCAGAGATGGAATTTTGTTGAAGTGCAAAAGCACAGGTGTTTTTACTCTTTAATTTCATTAGTGATGCATAGGGCTTCCTAAGTCCTTCTAGCCATTTCAAATGAAGAGGTAAAAGCTAGGCATAAGCTTAAATGATAACATTCTTTCTCAGAGAGAAAAATATGCATGTATGAATCAGAGCTATTGTACTATCCTTATTATTATCTGCAAGCCAAGGGCTCTGTTCCAATTAAAGAATACCACAGATGGACCATTCAACAAGCATGCACACAAACGAACCTACAATAGGTACAGTAAAGTACCCAGTATTACAGAGCCCAGAGAAGAGCTTTTTACTTTAAAAACTATTTAATCAGGAAAATCAACGCCTAACATCAAAGAAATGGAGATGAGGGACAGGCGGATAAAGAGGCTCATCAAAGAAGGAGATCTAGTTAGGGATTCAACGCCCTAATTCCCTTTCTCTTAAAACCTTCGTCAGAGGGGGCACAGGGCCAATTTGCTCCCTAAATGGCTGCGTGTGAATGTGAAGATTGCTTTGCATAGCCGCTGGGAATCTGGGCTTCTTCCTCTTTTTCTTCTCCACGCGGAGCCTGTGAATTAGAAAAGATCCAAAGACAGATAGGCTTAACGGAGCCCTAGCTACCTTCCTTAAGTCCAGAGCCCTGTTCCAACTTCCAACTAATTCAATCCATGGCCTAACTCAATTAATAGACTTTAATGCACTGTTTCTTCTTTATCTTTTCTCTTTCCTGAGGATTGGGGACTTCAGTTAGAGTTGTAGAGTAATATCTGCAAAAAGGTTTGGATTGTAAGTCTGTCTGAATGTTAAGACAATGACATGTCCATGTGGCATTACGGTTGATCATATATGCATCCCTAATCTCTGACATCTCCTTTATCTCACTTTCTGAGACTTGCCATACATTAATGTAATGTAACGCATAAAATATTGACAACACTCTTGCCTGTCTCTGGTTTTATATGCATTGCTATAGGATTCATTAGTCAAAATGTCCTTGATGTGAGAGAGGACCCCCGAGTGTGTCAAAACCAATCATCATCTACGATTGTAACCCCTACCTCAAGGTGTACATTTTCTTTTAATCCAACGAGGGGCTATTTCAGTACTTTTATATGAGCTTTAAACCATACAATTCATTAATTTTGGCCTTGCATTACCACCAAGGACATATAGTCTAGCACATTCTCTACATACCTGTGGAAGTTCTATGAGAAATAAAGATCACATTGGTCAGTAACATAAATAATTTAAGATCAGTCCTGCAAGTACACCTACCCAGTAATCTTCAAGGCATTCATGCACCTCATGAGGACAAATATTTCATGCCTTATCCTCTCCGCTCAACAGAAACATTAACCTCATCTGAGTGCAAATGTGTGTACGTCTTTCTGAGCCGGTAGATCTGAGGCCAGCTCTCCGCAATAGGCTTTCTATCACGCCTGCAGTTCCGATTGATCGTCTCAGCAATCAGCAATTAAGCCCTAGTGATCAGAGCGGGAGAGGGAAGGGGGAGGGAGGGAGAGGTGGGAGGTATCCGCCCCCCCCCCCACCCAACCGCCCCAACCCAACCGCCCCAACCCAACCCACTCCTCTCTTGTCAGCCTAGGAAAGGCTTCACTCAGCTGGGGTGCGTTTGGCCCGGGGCTGGGCTCACTGGTGGAGGTTAACTCCAGCATAAATAAGCATCTTTGGACTCATTACAGGGATTAGAGAGTAATTCGCCTGCGAGGAAGGAGACGACTGCCAGGGTTTTGGTACAGTTTACTACAGTCTTATAGGGGCGAGGACCCTAGAGATTACAGAGGGAGAGAGATGGAAAGGCAGCAAAAGAGAGAAAGGCCAAGGGAAAAGAGAGGCTGGCTGTCAAGTGTGTGTGTGCGTGTGAGAGTCAATCCAAGCCCCCGGCTGCCCCCTTGATCTTGAGCATGTTGGGGTGCTGTGAAAACGGATAATGGGAGTTAGAACGACCAGGCCTGTCTAGAGAGAAGTGTGCTGATTGTTATAACTTTCCCTCATCTCTCTCTCCTCCACTTAACTAAATAAACACCCAAGAGGTAGCACTCTATCAATTTTAATGATGTTGAAATACAATTTAGGCACAAAATACACAACAAATGCTAATTTGGCCATGATGAGAGGCATCAGAAATTCCTCCCATTATTTATTCAGCTGACTTTCTGCATTTTTCATCAGAACAAATATTCCCATTTCAACAAACACACACACACTCATACACACGTACTAACACACAGCCAATTTGGAGCATAAATCAACACGTTCACTCATCAAATATATGCTCTGTGTGGTTCTCTGTAGTCTGTCCAGTGCACCAAAGACAAATAGTTCTGTCCAAAGTCCAGCCGGAGAAACGGAAGGGGCAGAGGATTGTCAATATATGCACACATACATTAAACATAGCAGGTCGATGTGTGTTCAGAAAAGACACAGACATCATAAAGACTGAAGTCCAGTCATAAACTCATACACGACTACCTCGTGAATCTTTCCAAAAGGAGGGAGGCTCACAGAACCCCTTAAACCCCTTTCCGTTTTCATATAATCCTGTCGTTACAAAATATCTTTATATGATAACATTAATGATTTAATATGTTTTCATCAAAATGCGGTAATCTTAAGAATCATTAACATAATTGAACAAAGGTAGTTAGTGGTTATGTGGTGGTTATTCCATTTGTACAGCTATAAATATATGAACCACCATTTTAACTTCTCGTCCCTGCAATTTCAAAACAAACTCACTCATGACAGCTTCCTCACATCATCACCTGCCAATCATCTCTACCTCCATCTTGACCGGCTCAGGGTGTCCTGCCTCTGCTCCACATTTGGGACAGGTGAGGCAAGCCTCTGCAATACTGTGGCTTTTGATGCAGTAGTAACAGAAAACATGTCGGCAGCCAATCGTATGAGGCATGGTTGGCCACTCTCCGCACAGTCCGCACTCTTTCGAGACCCCTTGCCCTTCTGTTGCTCCCTCCCCAATGGCGCTTTCTCCCCCAAAAATAATCGAAGACACTGTTGCCTTCAGTTTCCTTGTATTGATCAGTGGTAACAGGAATATGAGGAACTCAGCAAAGCCGTGCCACAGCAGCTCACGGTTCATGTACTGGTAGGTTACGTCCCGGACCACGTTGGGCTTGCTGAAAACCGCCCGAGCGCCTGCAATCCTTTCAGCCAGGACAGGATGGCGACCTTTCCTTAGGAACACAAGGAAGTTGATGAGACTTGTGAGCTGGGAGATACTAGAAACAAGGGTCAGGCAACTGCGGAGACCCTGCTGGAGAAAACCACTGTCTCCTTCAGACACAGGCCCTCCTGCGCTCAACCCCAAGCACAGAAGCAGGCTGTGGGAACGCTCCTGGAGCCAGCGTGGACCTAGAGTGAGGAGGGCCAGGACCAGCTTCTGCCTGCGGGACAGAGGTCTGTAACGTGGAGACGAGGACAAGGTGTTGTGGTAGTGCAGGCTCAGTAAAGACTGCCCCACAGTGGCACTGCTAGAATACAGTGTGAATCTCCACAGCAGCAGCTGGAGCAGTGCCCTCAATTCCGGCTCCAGTGGGGTGAGCAGGCCCGGTCGGCAGTTCTGGAAGCACTGGGAGAACTGGGTCCATAGCAGCTGCTCAAGGGCCGAGTCTAGCTCAAGGGCATCCAGCTGGCTGATGCGCAATACCGGGGTCTGTGGGTCAACATCAGTTTCTGGACCCGAACTTCCAGCTGCCTTTTTTTGGGTTACCTCACTTTCCAAACCTGTTGCAAAATAAATAAATAAATAAATATAGTAAACAACGGGGATATATACATTAATCATGTTTTCCAGGATTTCCATGAGTGGATTTTTGCAGTATATACATACTCATACAGATTGGCATGCAGAGACAGCAAGATCTTTTTACAGCCTGGATCTTTTTTTGTTTAGTTAGGGCCATCAGTCCTAGATATCATGATACTTTATTGTCAACTCTATCATAGACCATATAAACTTTGTAAAAATAGTATACAAGAGCACCCACACAAGTGATCAGATTTCATTTAAACAAATGAAACAGGAGAGTAAAAACTAAAAACCCAGGTAAAACCCCTCCTGTATTTTCCCAAAAAACTGATTAAGTACATAAATGTCTCATTACGTTACATTATTAAATACATTACTAATGTACAGGCAACACCACACTTGATCTGTTAAAGTCACAAACAAAATATATACAGAAGCACAACTATTAAAAGGACAACTAGGTTGTTGGGAGCAATGAAGCCCTGGAGGTGAGGCCCATCCTGTTAGGAAGGTTATTTTTTCTTTATACATAGGAACGGAAATCACTTTTCACATGTAAAACCCATCCTTAATGCAACCTTTGAGCTGTGCAATGCAGAGGAGCAGGGGGTCTTAGACTTCTCTCTCCAGTGTATAAACATCACAATCCAACACACACACACAGACACACACACACACAGACACACACACACACACACATATAGACACACACAAAGAGGAGGCGAAGCCCAGGGGCTCTTGGTGCCTGCTCCCTCTGGAGATAGGGGTGTGTGTACAAATCACATCACTAGGGATTAGGCTAACGGCACAGTCTCTGGTACACCGTAAACATCTGCCAAATGTGGAACAATTTTGCCTCCCCCTAGAGTCGACTCCATATGGGATCTCACCATTGTGACGTCCGGGCTATTTTGCGCTGCATACGTTTCCAAACTCACAGTTCCCCCCAGTTTTATCTGCCCTTTCCTCAAATGAAACGCTTAAGAAGTAGGGGACTAACTAACGCAAGGAGAGACAGAGCAAGAGGCCCGCAGAGAGAGAGAGAGCGAGAGAGACAGAGAGGCCTTTTTTTGACAGTGGCTTTTGTGTCTCGCTGAACAGGATTTGTCACGAGGCTTTAAAAGAGATTTCAGCCGGGTAAATATGGCAGTTTTGACAGAAAGAGAGAGAGAGATGATGGTCACTTTAGACGTTTCTCAAGGAGGTAAAAAAAAACATTCTAATATGCGGTGGCAATGCTCGGGTTTATTGTGGTGCACAGGACCATCTGTGTATTCATGATGTTTCAATAGAGCCAGGATACACCGTCCAACTAAGTTAGAATTAGCAAATGAATGAAAAAAGAGTGAATTCATGCTGAAGTAAGCAGGTGTGACAAATTCATTGAGCTGCATTTGAAATGCTGCCATGTTTGGTGACTAGAACCTCGCCTGTGATGGAAGTAGAGTTTGGATTAAAAAAAATAAATAGAGGTAGTCTGAATGTGTATGGTAGCCAATAAACAGGCTCCATTTGTTTAGCTTAATCTGAAAGTTTTTCCTTGATGGGAGAAAATGTGCAGATTATGTCCCTGTGTGTGTGACTGTGTGTATGTCGAGAGTAGACTTGATCTATGCAGAGCATACAGTCCATAGTTACTTACACACACACACACACACACACACACACACACACAGCCAGGTGGTGGAAATCCCCGACACAGCGGCAGCCCTCTCGGGAGAGTAAACCCGGCCGGGTCCAATATTCTTTCCAAAGCCTTTTATCGAGCAGTTTACAAGTTATGAATGAATATGTTTTATTTGGGGAAACACGGTATTGACAGCCACCTATCAATAGTAATGTGACTATTGTCGAGGGTCTGTCAATATTAATGTAATTATGATGTAGAGGGATCAGAGGGATGCCGGAGTCGGGGGCCAAGTAACATCTCCTGCCCACTGCCATATCAATAGCTGGGATTGCTATTGACAGCTTCCCTTCAGACTTGCAGCACTTGCCAAATATATAACAAGCAGACACTTCAGTCAATGCCGGGCTGCCTATAAAAATTAAGCATTTGAATTTACAGGGCTTTTACCGTGGACAGCTGGAAATCCATGTTCCTTATGTAATAGTCAAAAGTCACAGTCAATGCCAGTGTTTACAGTGCACTTGTGTGGTGTGTGTTAGAGAGGGCAGACACTAAAGCATTTGCACACAAAAAGCATACACAGATACAAGCAGACAGACTCTTTCTGTCTGATGTATTCAGTCACACGCACACACACCTGATGAGATATATTGACTTGATGATTCTCTCATGGGTCAGCCAGCCAAACGACCCAGAGACAAAATACCCTCTCTTGCAGAGTCGTCGGCTGGCGACCGACAGAGTCAGACAGCGGGTTAGAGGAGTTCACTGAGAATCAACAGAAAATCACCTGAAAAGTATGGGGGCTTGCTTTTCTATCAGAGCTGTATAAAATACTTTAAAAACATCTTGCTGGGAATATTAGAGGGTATTTTGATTCAGGTCAGATGAGAGTTTTTTTTTTTCCCCCTCCCCTTGTTCCCTTAGCTTGTGTGTCTTGTTCAGACAAAGATAGTGCACTGACTCAAGTCTGACTGCAATAGCTTACAGACAACAACAACAACAACAACAACACGAAACAACAACAATATCCAATCTAACGGGGAACACACTGCAACATAGCTTCAAGGCAAAAAGGGGGCCATGACCAGTGTGAGATGAGGAAACAAAAGCGTACAGAGCATCAGACTGAAGCCTCGCAGCTGCAACGGGCCCTCTGGAAAATAGACAACGGGCTGTAATGACAGCTACCCAACAGAAAGATGGATGGACAAAGAGACCGACCAAAAAAGACAGACATGTCAGAGACAGCACGTCATGAAACCCCCAGCTGGGAGCTCTGAACTACTGTCTACTGATACAGTGAAGGGGAATAAAAACTGGGGGCAAAGATAGCTAAGGAGAAAAAAAAAATGAGGGGAGGGGAAACGCAGATAAGCACAAACCTCTCCCTAGGAACTGACCTTGAGACTGGCGGTCACAATAAAGGAGGAGGGAACATTCCTGAGGCATACACGGCTCAGCCATACTGAGGTACGGGCATCAAGGGAATAGCCTATAGACAGAGGAAGGCTGCACTTTTCTTCTTGACCTTGGCTTTGGTGTCTAGGGAGGGGATGAGGGGTGTTTAGGGCAGGGGACTAAAGACTGAGGGATGCTGGGAAGGTGGAATATCTCTTGGGGATTGCGTTTAGCTTTTTCTGCGGCGGACAAGTGTTCTGAAGCTGCACACGAGGCTATCATTCCATGCCAGTTGGAAACTGTGTGTCCAAAGGTCTCGATTTAGCTACTGGCGTGGTGTAGTGCTCAAATTCCTAAGCACTTAGCTATGGTTGTTAGCATAATATATTTGCTGAAATAATGCATAAACGTTCACTTGGCTTTCTATGATGCTTGTAGCAAGAAATAGGCTATGCATTGGCAAAGCATGCTGGATTACAACTTTACATTTTCTTCTCTTGCTCATGTAAATTAATTTGTGTAAAAGCTCTGGTGAATAAAACCTATTTCTCTGAGCACTCCCGCCTCGTTTTTTTTTTCTCTCTCTCTCTCTCCCGCTCCCTCACTTTATTGCCCTTCTTTAGCCAGGAATGAGCGTGGGCCTATTAGCCATGGCCTGCTAATGTCCTCACTATGAAAACGGATGGGAATGTCAGATTTAGAACTTTTAAGAGAGTGATGTCATACAGCAGACCACAGGCATTACGGGGACGCTAAGATTACCCAGGCGGTAACCAGACTAATTGTTATGAGTCTGTTTCATGAAAAATGAATGTGTGCAAATGCACAGAGGGTTCTTCAGGCTGTGTGTGTGCGTGCGTCACACACTAATGCTTTATCAAGGCTCTCCTCTTTCTCTAATCACCCAAGACTCCTCCGAGCCATGGGGTGAGGGCCAAGTTAATGCCTGAACACAAAAAAAAAAATACACATCAGTTAGAGCAGCGCATCTGACACACAAAAAATGTGCTCGGTTTAATCCGGTTTGCTCAGAAGGTAAATTATTTAAGAGAATTAATTGATTTCATGAGTACGAAGGTTCAGTATGCGAAGGCTGTAATAAGTACAGGGGTGTGCAAAAAACAACTTAAAAAGTAATGAAACATTTAGAGGGCAGAAAGGCACAATGAACGTGGAAGAAAAAGCGGAACAGCTAATAAAAGGGAGTACTGAAGTTGTGTCTTTCTTAGGAGTCAATGAGAGATCACTGGGGCCTCACCTCATGCAAATAAAATGTGTTATGCTGAAGAATATTTGATCAGCACATTCTTTAGCTTCTCTTTATGCATGAAAAACATGGGCAAAATAAAAGGAAAAACATTTTGTCTGTTTTTTTTAATCTATGCAACAATTAAAACGTCTTTGGGAGTGAAAAATTCTAAACTGAGGTGAAGCAGCTTTTTGAGTCCAATAAAATCTATGAGAATGTGAAGGCCACTGCGGGGTGAGAGAGTCTGCCAGTCGAACCCATTGTACAGATGCTACTGTTAGGAAATCAACTTGCATCTGTGAATCAATTTGGGGAATTGTTTGAGGGTTTGCTGTCGCTGCAAATTGTAACCTCAGTGACATGTTGACATGTTTTACTTTCACCACATTTGGAAGTTTAAAGCCATAATTTATTGCAAAATAAAGAAAAACCTTCTGGCAATGTACACGTTTCAGTTACAGCACTACAAATATGGAAAAAATACTTAGAGACAATTAAATACGATGTATAATCTTTTACATAAGCACACTGGATGTTGAGAGAATATCTTCCATTGCCTATCTCTAGTAACAACTTTATGTAGTAGTTTTACGTCAGTGTCAGTCTATGTAAAGCTGAGTGTATGGATTCTATAGTCGCAGTCAATTATCCAATGACACATCAGATAATTAATAAATGACATCTTTAATCCAGTAAAATGCTTATTAATAGTTTCTAATATTTAAATTATTGATATTAAAATCCTCTGGCATTGTTGATCAGAAAGAGTATATCCATTAGTTGTAGCCCTTCTTCATGAAACATGTATGTGCAATATAATGTTTTTTGTTCTGTTCAATGACTAAAACTATTTTTCTTTCTTTGCACAGATAACCCCACGGCCTTTATCACTTGCCTTCATCTGGAAACTGTATAAAATGACCTTATGACCCCAGAGTGAGATCATAGCCCAATTTAACGTCAGTGACTCCCTTAAAAACACACTCATTACACTAAGTGTTCAGCTCTGGAGGCACGCGCCTATACTTCAATGTCATGCAATCAGCTGCTCCACATTCACCTCATAATGACATTGTCTCTTAATTTTTTAGCTCATGCCCATCAGTCTTTAACAACAACAAAACCCAAATCTGCTCCATTTTGATAATAAGGCAAGAGCATTATGTGATAATCACAGTGGGGATTAGGTTTTGGCAGAGTGTGCGAGAGCAGTGCAGTCAAAGCCACTGGAAAAGAGAGATATAACCAAGAGACAGATAAGAGTAGAGGAGTGATGATTGGGATGAGCGAAATGAAGTGAGTAGTCTCTTGAAAATCAATAAGATCAACTTTGCCTTGAATCTCAATGTGGAAGGTTTTGATCTCTGGCACTGATTATTTAGGGGAATAATGGAATTATGTGCGGAGCAGTATAACATACTCTTGAAGGAACACACTCTCACAAGGTTACCATCCAAAGTTGCAGCTGGTAAATAAACCTGGAGGTTACTCGTAATGAATATTAATTCACCACAGTGTACCGTATGTACATCAACAGTCGATTGATCTGATTGATTTTAAATACAAACATGCAAAAAGGGGGAACACATGTCGCTTCAGAGACACAGCACTGACACTGGACAGCAACAAGGAGATGATAATACCACTGGACGAGCACGAGTCTTTACACCGTTTAAAAGAAGCACACGTGTCGCATTTGAGCTTCGTGTGGAAGAAAATACTGCAGACTTGAATGCTCGCTAAACAACAGAACGAAGATATATTTACCCATTTCTTTTTAGGGGAAAGGTGAACTCAATGTAGCCCAGTCCTCCCTGATACAACGAAAACAATATGTATTTCCGGATTGTAAAACTATACCCCGCCTCTCAAAGGAAACTGACCAATGGTGTACGGGAACGTCACGATTACAAGGCCAGTGGTTAGAATTAGCCAATCAGAGCACACAGCGCCAACGTAGCGGCAAACTGCAGGGGGAAGCGTCGGTCTGTCTGGACGTACATTCCTCCGTTGTAGTGACGGCACATAGCGACCAAGTTGTTGGAGAAGTGACGGTAATTCACACGAAGTAACACAGATAATGTCTTACATGCACTCAAAATGCCACGCATTTACTTTTTTCGGGTTGCTCTACAGTTGTCTAATAATGTAAACTATAAGGCTGTGCAAACATTTAACTAGAGTGACCAGCTGTGATTATGAGTGTTGGCTAGTTAGCTAACGTTAGCTTTTATTTCATAAACTGCTGACAACTTGCACAACCATGAGCCAAAAGACAACAACAACAACAGAGTCAGGAGAAAGCCCGAAGCTGTCGGCTCAGAGAAGTGATGCTTTGAACCTAGACGCTTTTTCAGGAGACATAGAGCTGAAGGTTTACATCCAGGGTCCTGGGACTGAGACAAACAACATTAAACAACTTCTAAACGAGTTTCAAGGACTTTACGAGCAGAGGTTCAGATGCCTGGAGCTGGACACCACCGCAACCCGAGAAGACCTGCTGCAGGTGAGGAGAACTTCATGATGATGTTGACACGGTTGTACGTGTCATCGGTAGCGTGGCCGAGCGGTCTAAGGCGCTGGATTTAGGCTCCAGTCTCTCTGGAGGCGTGGGTTCGAATCCCACCGCTGCCATTATGACCCCTAAACTGTGATTTATGAGTCCTGATACATGAAACTACTGCTACAGTTGGCGAAACATGGAAAAGTTATGCAAATGTTCTCTAATGGTCGTCCTAGCACAATTCTCTTGAAATATGTTCACATCAAAGAACTCATCTGTTGCCAGGGATGTTTTGTTCTCAGTAACTTTTGTTGTGTTTGTTTCCAATAAGGCCAAGACACAGCAGAGTTATCTGATCAGACATTATCAAATATTGACTTCTAGTGATTAAATTAACCCATTCCTCATTTTATTGTGGTCACTGCAGCCTCCATAGGTAACCATCCGGGGGTCTGGACCCTGAATTGTATTCATGGGTCCAGACAACTGCATAAATTATGTTTAAAAATACAGCATCTCAAGGATCCCATTCAGACCCAAAGTCTCTACAAGATGTGTAGTTTTCTACCGACATCTATTGTCATTATAGGTTATCATCCATCCGATACAAATCAAAGAGCATCCTGTCCACCGTGACTCGGGCATCAGAAGATGACCTCCGTCCTGTCAGACAAATGACAGGAGGAAGCGCAGGGGTGCTTTCATAAAGCCGCAGCACTTGTAACAGGTGGCAAATTGCATTATGTTTCCATCTAAGCGGCAGAGATCAGGAACACAGATCCACACTCATATTTAAAAAAGAGAGGTTTCTAATCATCAGGACTGTCATGTGACATCATTTAGCTGCAGAATGTAGCCTGTGTGAGCTGGGCTGTGCATCAAAGCAAGTGTAACAAGGTTTCAGAGATGGGTTTCGGTCAGCCGGCCCCAGTCGCGGGCCTCCTTAACAAGGTTATGTGTTTAGAACCCAGGAGCTCACTAGTCCTAAAGGTTGATGTGGACAGTTAATCATAAAGCTTGTCCATTGAAAACACAGCGCCCATTCATCCATGAACCCATTGTAGGTTTATGATATTTCCTAACATGTTAAAACACTTGGACAAACTTCCAATTAAAGAATTAATAGAAAGTATACATAAAGTATATTTTTCCTATGCTTTAGTGATCACGAATAGGTAGCTGTTCTAAAGCTGGAATACAGTAAAACAACATGTTTAGTTTCATATAATAGATTCATTTTACATTCCACACCTTAAAATACAATGCCAACCTTAGAATGTTATCTTAGATACTGTCACATCTACAGTCTTTGTAAAGTTACTCTCCCTGAAGCTAGACATCGGTGTTATATTATGCGTCAGGGGACGGTATAAACTGCTTGTTGACTTCTTTGGCTGTAGGGGACAGACGTTTTTGAACACAGATGTACAGGTGCTCCTCTAAGGCAAAATAATTCTGACATTCAGTGGCACTCCCTTTTGTCGGAGCTGGAATCACTGTATATGTAGGCTATCCGGCTACCTGTACAACCGCTTAAAGGAACAAGTTCACAAGTAGGTTTTTTTTAACTGAGATGAAAGACTGAACTGAAGAACTGTGAGGATTTGATATATTATGTCAGTTGTGGAGCATGTTTGGGTGACCTATTTTTTGTACACAATAAAATGTGAACTTAAAATGCATTCTTCCAGACACAAAGCAGCAACAGGGAATAACATGTTTCTTAGCCTGCCCTAACCCCTGACCAACTACGTACTCTTGTTTGCTCATGAAGTATTCCTTTCTAATAATACAGTTCAGAGGTCATTTACTGTGAATCCTACGTGGGCTGCTGAATGAAAGCCAAGAGTATTCCATGTCCTTGTCTGGCAGAGAGGTTTTGGGTTTTGGAAAGTGAAACAATGTTTTAAATTTCCAAACCAGTTCAATACCCCTCGTGAGAGTGATGCTTTGTGACGGGGAATGGTTTATACAGGAAATTCAACCCTACTAAGCCCTACTAACAACAAGCCTGTGGTTATAATGGTTGTGTTATTAAACTAAACATAAGTAGAGCAGGTGAAAATGTACCACAATAGACAACGGAGCTGCCATAAGTCTGATGTAAAAGCATCATCAGCTTTGATGATGTTATCTTAGGCTATTACATATCTCAGCCTCCCACAAAAGCATGGTATTGCTGCTTGCATATTAGAAGCCTGACTCCAGATGTTAAAAGTGCGTGGACTGCTTGTTTGCGATGGAACGAGAGCCTGTGGCCATCAGCCGCAGGTTTTATAATCACTACAATTTCAGCTAGTTGTCTTCAGATGTGTGTTTTTGTCACAAAGCAAAAGAATCACGACCTACCCTGCAAGACTTTTGACTCCTCACCCCATGTATCTTCCTGTTAAATCAGATTCTTAATTTAAAGGGGACAACCCTAAAGACACAAGGGTTAAATCAAACCAAATACAACATACATTTTCAGTTCCCTGGTGCATAGTCCCTGCTTTTCTGTTCATTCAGTTGCGTGTCAAAGAGATATCTGACATCAATTTGATGTTTGATGGATCTCGTGGAAATCATGCATCTCACTTCTGTAATCTGTCATTTCTGTCAAAAACACTGATTTGCCAAGAGGGACTACTATATTTATAGGTCAACGAAAATGACTTACTGTCTTTGCAGCTCTGTCTCACAGGAACGTTCATATTGCTACTAATTTCCAATAGCGATTGTGATGTTCTTACAGTGAGACCTTGCAGAGAGGAAATCGGGCTGGATGCATTGGTTTAGTGCTTGACTTCAACAGCAAGGACCGCAATTTGTGTCCCTTCCCATGCTCTATTTCAGTGTGTTTTAAACCTTGAATTGTGTATGTTTGTCAGTGATCTTTCTCTTACTTAATTTGTATATGCGTAATGTGTAATTTGCCTCGACATACGCATAAATAAACACATCACAGTCCACACGGGTGTATATGGTAGGGAAAGCAAATGAAAACGTACCAGTGAAAATTTGGCAGATACTTTTGAATATTGTGTTCATATGTTCATAATAAATGAGATTATGTTTCCCCCAGAGCATACAAAGTTAATACAGAATAGTTGTATATCAATGTCATTCTTCTGCAAAACTGCTGGATTTTGTTTGAGTGTACATCATTTTCTATGCACAAATGATGTGTTTACTGCTCTCCTGTTCCAAACAGGAATTTTAGTTTGTCATTGATTTGACTCGATAAAATAAAACAATTTGTATTATAGAAGAAACCTGCTTGGTTGGACTGTCAGCTTGTTAAAACCCAGCAAATAAACCACTGTTTGATCCTTTTGTGCTGTTATTCTTGCAGAGGAAAGTGAATTTCCTGCGGTCTTATGTCAGTGACCTCACAGACCAGAACCAGGTGCTGGTTCAGACCATTGAGGATCTGCAGGAGGAAACTGACCACAAGGTTTCCAACTGGGCAATGAAGCCACACACCTCTGCTCACAGTTTGGAAGTAAGGTTTTACAAATGTTTTTTAGAGCCTTTCAGCTTAATGAAGTCCAGATAGAGTATCATTGTTTTCTTTGCTATTTATGCAATTTATGTATTTGTATGAAACACATTTACAGTAATCTGCTGGTATACAATTCTTTAATAAATATTTGTATCTTCAGGGGAACCATGTCCAGGTAATACAGTCTCTTTAACAAAGGGTTTCAATACATAAAGAGCTGTACAATATTTTCAGAGCCATGTTACACAGAATACGCACAATTGCAAACATTTTATTGTGTATGCAGATAACATTAACTTGAAAAACTTTTTCAGGTGCTGATAAAGCACAAGCTTGGAAATTTGGATTGTAATATGTAGAGTATATTTTGGAGCATGGGAGAAAAATAAAGAAAGAAAAAGCAAAAGAAAAATCTGGCTCAGCTGTCCAGGTAAAACATTTTTAAATTTTCTTGTTCTGTTTAACCAGGGGCATTTATTTAGCATCCTGTTATAAGTGGAGCAGCATATGTCAACAGCATGAAATTTATACCAAACACAGTCTATATACAAATATCAAGGGTGCATACACATGACAGTGGTAAGAATGTATTAAAAAGAGAGAAAACAAGATGGAGAGAGAAAGAGAATAACGGCTCATAGCTTTCTTTTCTATTCTGTGGTACCATTGTCTCCAAGATCCTTTATTTGTGTACTCTACTCGAGGCCAAGGCCTCTTCGACTTTACAGAATCCAATCAGTGGAGATCAGACTGAATGTGGTTCATAGTTAAGTCCATGGAAATCCCTCATTGTTTAGACAGAATAATATCGCTCTATAGAATAATGGCAATATAGAAAAGTAATTAGGACGAGCATGGAGCCATTTTAAGAATAATGTAGAGTGTTAAAAATACAGCGAACTCTTTAGAATAAGCTGCATGTTAACTGAAAAAAGGAGTCAAGCAGACAAAGGTCCTCTGTTATTATCTTTTAAGTTTGTGGCCCCAACTGTTTTCTGGAGGACACCACAAATTGTTGTTCATTCTTAGCAGACTTTAGGTGAAAAGCTGCGTGCAAAAATGCTGTACTGAAGTATTTTTTCTTTTTTTTCCTTCCAAGATTGCATCAATGCAAGGCTAAACTATAAAGGCACTACTTGATGTAGTGACCTTAAGGTATTGTTCCATTTCAGTTATGTCCAGGCCTCTATCAATATGCGCTCTTCTGAGTGGATCTTGCGCACAGAAAAGTAATTATGGCCTATTATACATCAAAGCACTCATCTGCTATTATGGAGAAGGTCAGAGGGCTAGCTTTGTGTGCTCTCTACACTGGTCACAAAGGTCAATGCAATACAATGCTTTGCGTTTTTCACCATTCAAAGCTGTCCATTTTAACTTTCATCAATTTAAAACATTAATTTTCTTCAATGACATTTCTTTAGCAACAAAACATACCAGCATCTACATTTTCTCTGCCACAAGGCCTTTTTCAGATTAATTAGGCTGTACTGTATATGTGTTTCTTGCTAACTATAGTACAATACATGCCTACTGAGTAGTGAGGATATGACCAGACCTTTGTTAGTTTTCAGATGTGTTATTATCAGTAATGGAATTTTCAGCACTTTACCAATTTTTTGGCTCTCTCCAACACATTAAAAAAATGACAGCTAGAAGAGAATAGGCGAAGAAAAACGTTGTAAAGCTGATTAAATGACATTCTATTATTGTTGGTGACAACAACAGGTTCTTTTGGCAGCCAATGAGACACAGCGTCCAGAAAACATAATAGTTTGTTACCATGCTATCGACCCATCTTCTGAGCTTTCGAATCTCCATTTTCACTCGTCTTAAACGATGCTCTCACTGTCTGTTTATGTTACTTTGTATGTTTTCAGGGTCTAGATTGGTAAACAAATACAAACAAATGGACTGCTTCACTCAACAGTCTATTAGGATAGTCAGGGGACAACAGTGTGTTTCTGCTCTGATGTCCATAATGTGAAATCCAATCAAATGAAGAGCATTTAGAGCTACTTATGGACCGTTCCACCATGTAAACGATGCAATGAGCTCTGTAATAGGAGCTTGGCTAACGTCTGATTGAATCGTAGTGTATGGTCTTGTTGATGCACAATAGGGTTGAACTGTAATGGACACTAAACAGAGTTTGTTTTGTGGTCGTAATATCATGAAATCCAAGGCTTGTATTCTCTGTTCTAGACTGCTGCAATTAGCCTGTTGTCTATTTGTCATCCATAGGCAGATGGATATAGCATCATTTGTTCCCCGCATACAATACAAACCTGAATTAAACTATACTTGGTGAATAATACTGATGTGTTTAACCTGTAGTAACCTGTAGCAACAAGCTATAAAAGCAAAATAGTATTCATTGACATGGGTTCTTATGGATTTTGGAGGATTTAGATGTATAGTTGGTTGTCCCAGTGACATCTAGACTCTAAGACAGCATTGTTTCACTTTGATGATCTGTATTAGGTCAGGATTCAGACTTCCAGTCCTAGTGCTGCTCTTGCCAGTATCCGTTTCTACAGTTAACTAGCTTTCCAGCTAGTAGTGAAAAAATTAATGGAAAATTTTGAACTTTCTTTGTATCATTCGGTTACAATAAAAATCATTATTATGAGTGCCGAGGAGTTTTTGGGAAACTTCTGGGAAACTTTCTCATAGTCATTTCCTTCAATCTCCTGGGTTAAATTCTCATTGGACAGTCATTTTGGCAGCTTTAGGATTAATAATCATATAATGCAATAAAATTGCAACTTTACTGATCTCTGTAGAAATATTTTTTTCCACTTGTTTTATTCCAGGAAGGTCAAAAGCACAAGGGCAGCTACAGAACAACTTCTGGAGCTGGCAGGGATTCAGTATCTTGCTTGAAGACACTTTTGCTGGCCAGATGGTAGCCAACTTTGGGTTTCAACAACAATTGGAAGACGAATAAAACGCTCGCCCTTAATTTGAGACACATTAGGAAAACCTAAAGAAAGAGGAAGAGTTTGTGTAGGGTCTGTCTAAGATTTCTCAACAATTATTTAAAGAATTTGCTTAAAATTATATTTACAAATTATTGATGCACCCTGGTGTAAATTCCTGTACTGCTCATAAGCTGACCTTCTGTCTATGAGATCAAAAGATCACAGATCCAAATAAGATATCCTGAAAATGCCCCTGCATTGAACTGTCAGCTTTAGTCCTGTAGACATTAAAAAGTCTGTGGGGAGTGTACACGTTAAAAGATTTTATGGACTTTATATAATTTAACATGTTTTCCACACTGTTGGTCAGTCATTTGGCTCTAATAATTTAGTTTCTCCCAATAACTTCTTCAGGACTTGAATCAACAAAGGACATCCCTGGAGCAAAGTGTGTATGCTCTGCTCCGAGAAGAAAGATCTGAGGTCAGACTTGTTCTCTGTTACACAATTCAACCAGCATACTGGATATGTACACAACGTTAATGTGAGCCTTATTCTTTCTTTCGGTTATCGCTTTGTGTTTTTTGTGTCCATCAATTGATACATCCTTGCATGTATTGGCAATTTTGCACATTTAGTTTTATGTGTTGTTGCATTATATGCAGTCCGTCTGTGTGTGTGTGTTTTTTCTGTTGGGTAGATTTTTTTAATTCCCAGAGTTTAGCCCCTGGCCTGCAGGCCAGTATAGGGGACTGTGAAGGCCTGAGGGGGATCAGTGTAGATCAGAACAGATCAGTAGGGATCATTTGGGATCACTGGCCCTCTCTTTGATCCACTCATCCTGTCATCTCACCATTCCCACACAATTCTCAAATTATTACCATACCAGGCGAAGTAAAAACACCCACATGTTAGTAAACACATTTTTGACTCTGTGTCTGCAATGGAGATGTGTGGTATTCTGTTGTGTTGTGGCTTAAATTGGAAGTATCCCATTTGTTATACTTGTTAGCTCTCCTTGTTTATAAAAGACAAGGTTAACAAAGAAGACTTAATTTCTTTTGTCTTGTTTGTATCGGAGAAGAAACAAATAGTTTATAACAAGTGTCGACTACAAATTTGCTAACTGAATGCCGGGAATATCTCCAGCTGTGATGAGAGTCTCCAATTTTTTTTTTTTCGTGCGTGTGTGTGATTCACAAAGTGACTATTTATGACATTCCTCATAAACGACAGAGCAGGGGCTGTTAAAATCTGAAGGCTCAGGAACCGAATGAGAAAATTGGTCTCATGACTTAATCCATGCTAATGAGAACATCATTTTTCCTGTCATGTGGAGCACCCTCCATAGTAGCACTCTTAACACTCATTTTGCTCTCCTGACTGTAGTTCAACCAAACAGTACATAAAAGAAGTCTTTAAGTTATAGCATAGCTGTTGAATGGAACCTTCTTCATTACTAACAGGGGAACTTTTCTGGAATTAACAAAACAGGCCTCTTTTCAGATCTCTTTTTGAACTCAACTATTTGAATTCACACAGTTGGTCAGCTTCTCAATGACAAATACTGTACAGATGCATTAAGATCTTTCAATCTGTTTCCATGTCACAACAGTGACACAAATAAATGGATACATTTTTCCCAGCAATGCAGCAAGGTTAATTCTGAAAGCATTATTGGTGTATTTTATTTTCTGTAACTGTTGAAGAACATAATTAGGCTGACTAATATACCATTCATGCTTTGGCAGCAGGTTGCTCCAAAGCTGGCTGACCCTGTGTAGTAGTGACGGCTCTGCTCAAGTCAATGAAAGAAGGTGGAAACTCAATTCAGGTCTGCATTAAAAACAGTCTCTGAACTGTGTGACCTTTATCCCCCCCCCCCTCTGTCTCTCTCTCTCACACACACACACACACACACACACACACACACACACACACACACACACACACACACACACACACACACACACACACATACACACACTCGTACTTTTGCTTGTGTAGCAGCTGCGTGGAGGGAGAGCGGGAGTGAGAGTGAGAAAGGGAGAGCAGGGGAGGTCAGGAGGTTGCGATGGTTGACTATGCTAATGCTGTTGTTAATGACTTTGCTGTGAGTGATAATTGATCGTCTTCATTACCATATTAACTTCACTGCCCCCACCCTTCACAGGCCCCCCCATCGGCAAGCCCCAGTCTCTGTCTGCGCCGTAATGGATGCCTCCGTTTGAACCTTCAAATAATGAACTAATTAGCTTAATTAAAATCAATAGAGGTGCCAATACTAGGTTAGACATTTCAGGGATGCCGTCTCTATCTGCGGGGGAAAGGAATTTGCAGAAAGAGAGGGTGAGAGAGGACTGATGGCAGGAGGCAAGAGGAGCAATACATACTGTGAACAACAGGGAGAGTGTAAAAAGGTGAGCAGCAAGGGGAAGAAAAGCAAGAGAGAGAGAGACAGACAGAGGGGGACAGACACAAGAAGAGGAAGCCCTTATAATAAGATGGACAAAAATAGGGTGACAAACAGACAAAGAGGAAGTAAAGTTGGATGATGAGAGTTGCAAGTTTGAAGATAGTAAAATCTAAGCGGTAAAATGTAAAAATGAGTGGACAAGGGCGAAGACAAGAAAGCACGAGAGAAAATATCAGAGAGAAGGAGGGAGCCAAAGAGAGGGGACACTAAACGAGAGAGAGAGGGCGAAAGAGGTTCCTAATGCTGATTTATGAGTGCTTGACGGTCGTTAGCTGGAATAAATGGCTTGTAGGAGTGGCTGCAGCATTACTCCCTGTACAGGATACTAAGTGCATTGTAAGGTCAGCCATAAGGCCAAACTTACATATGTAGTGCTCTGCCCTTGTAAACCTTTGATAATATATCAGCCACAGGATGGAACTGTAACTAGTCCATCTGATACACCGATACGACTGTGGCTCCCTAACCTGTATGGTAATTGTTTTATTTCTGTTTTATTTATTTATTTAGCATAAAAGTTTAGCGGACTGAACTTTTATCGTTGGACAACACAAAAATTAAAAGCATCAACTGTGTTTATGAAGGCGATTTGCTACAACGTAGTGCTGAAGCAATTAGTCGTTTAATTAGCTAATTAGCTGATTAGCTGACTTTCAGAAAATTAATCTATAACAATCATATTATTATTATTATTATTATTAGTAGTAGTAGTAACCTATTTATAATTTGAAAAGCTTAAATAAAATTGCACTCTCCGGGTTCCCAAAAGTAAAGATTTGCTGTTTACATAAAGTAAATGTTTTACTAAATTAAAGACTGTTTGTTGGTCAGTTTGCAATTTAAATATTTCTTCTTGGGCACTGTTGAATTGTGATTGGTTTTTTAACTGTTTTGTGACATTTGAGACCAAAAAATAATCAATAACCATGCAAAAATACTGATTAACCAACAATAAGAATAATGAAGTTGGAAGTTATTTGCAGCCACGCTACAGTCGATGCTAATGCTTTAGCATTTTGTGCTATATCTTGCACTCTGAACCTGCTAGCTGCCGAGAAACATAAAAGCACTGTTAGTAGCACAACATTTTCTGAGTGTAAAGATCTTTATCCAATGAACACAGGGCAGGTTGATTAAAGAAATGTTTAATGTGCAAACGTTTTACATTTGGGTTTGCTATCTCCTCACTAGGTTATAAGTAAGGTTTAAATGAAAACTCTCCCAATCATTCTGCAATGAATCTGTGTGGTAGGAAATGGTGTGTTTTTAAGCTGCTGCCAGTAGAATTTGAAACAAGATGACTTGGTGTCCACTTGAGTCCACTGTACATACGACTCCGGCTCTGCAGACTGCACAAATAGGACAGATATATTTTCAGATGTTATAAGAACTGTCAGAATGCACAATGAAAAATGGAATAAACTTGTGTGGTTATATACTGTTTATTTATATATAGGTACACAGTATACAGTATCTTGATGGCACAGAAACAAGCCCTGAATTTATGGCTGCAGATGTGTGTGTTTTTCCTGTAGGCTATCATCATAGTTGCATCACTTTACACTTGCATCAAGCTCACTCTGGACAAAATTAAAGCCCACATTTTTAGTACACTCTCACTCTAAACATGCATGCTTTGACAACAAGATACTGGCGCGTTCCTTCCAGTCACCATCACCACGAGATGCATTATCCTCCTTTTTTCATTCCTCGCTTTCTGTTGTGATCTGGTGACTCATGCATACGTGTTCCCGCTTTTGTTTTTTCTCCTCTGTTGCTTTCAGTTGACCTAGCTCCAGACAAAAGGAATCGAGGGGAGTGGAAAAATGGAATGATTGCATAAATGGACAGCTATTTTCAGATAGAAAAGAAGCAAGAAAAAGCAAAAGTGAGGTGGGGAAGGGAAAAAAAAAAACAGGGAAGAGAAGAGGCGTGGGTGAGGGGCAAGTGGATGAGACAGGAGGAGACAAGAGAATGTGAGAGGAGGTTGGAGGCTGGAAACAAAAGAATAGAAACGGATGGGGGAAAGGAAGGAGATGGAGGAACAGTGACAGCGGAGGAGAGAAAGTGAAGCGATTCTGTGAATGACTGTTGCTATAATAAGTTTTCTTTGTTTCTTTCTTTTCTTACAGTAAAAGTACTGCTACCATTTCTACTTTTATATCACCAGTCCTGCTATGACTACAAGTTCTACTGCTGCTACAGTGCATCTGCCACTGTCTTCTCTCTAGTGTCTAACAGTGAACAGACCCACAGTGACAGGTTTTGTTTGACTATTTTCCACATCCTTGCCTCCTCGACTGCAGATTGAGATGTGATCACTTTGGAGGTACCGGTACTGCTTGTTATAGACAGAGCACCTTCTATAAGAATGGATTGCATATGCCTGTTCTGTTTGTCTTAAAACTGAGTGAGAACACTAAGTGATGTGATGCAATGTCTATGTAATGCGCTCTCTGTTTCTCTCACTCCCGTATTTCTTTTCTCTCTTACTCATGCACTCTGCTGATTTTGACCATTACATTGACAGTGTATTTCCACACCACTCTTTAATGGTATAGTTGTATTCTACACACAAACAGACACACACACACACACACACACACACACACACACACACACACACACACACACACACACACACACACACACACACACATATACGTAAGCCTTCCCTCTAACAAATGAGTTTACCCTGGTCATAACCTTCACAGGGCTCATTATCATAGATTGCAGGCCTTTTCATAAAGCTGAGACCACTGGTGACGGATTACTAACAGGATGGACACACACACATGCATATATATATATATATATATATATATATATATATATACATACATACACATACATACACACACACACACACACACACACACACTGTGATCGGTAATGAGACCTTATTCCGGACACCCAACCCAGCTGCCTGTAAATTACACCCGCCACTCTGCCATACATACTTAATCAGCTAATGTTGTTTTATTCCTTATTATTAATTTGCTCCTGTTTCTGATTTATCTAAAGCGCTCTGCATCACACCAATATTTTGTCTCCTTTACAGTTCAGAGAGGCAGAGAGAGAGGGAGAAAGAGAGAGAGTAGGCCGTGTGCTTATTCATGTACTTAGGGGATTGCATCTGTAATGAATGGACTGGCTGTTTAGGTATACATAACGCAGCCTACTACTCACCTTAATAATGTAAGCAGGTCGTAACTCCTGCCAACCCAAGGGTATATAAGGCATGCATACATAGACACAAACACACACATATACTGACACTCCAAAACACACACACAGCCTACCTATATTAACCACTGACCTCAACGTGTGCCAGGTCTTCTCACTGTCACATTGCAGCTGCATTGGAATATGAATGTTTCATAATTGGGGGAGAAAATCGTGCGTGCCTCTTGTGTGTCTTTTTATTATATATCTTTATATTAATAAGAGATTTTACTAAACATACAGAAACTATAAAAAAGAGATTTTTAGGTTAAATAGAATAAGTTTGTTATATTGTATTTTTTTGTGTGTTCCAACACACAACAAACCACTTTTCTATCAATATTACAAGGTGCATAAATATAGAGTAACTTATTTTCTTCAAGTTCTTGGAAAAAAATTTACAGTTGAGTCAAGAAAGCGGTGGAGGAACTTAACAATTAATTTGTGGTGTCCTGTATTTTAAAGTGGTGTCCCAACAAGCAACTTGTTCACTTGGCGGACATAAGGGTAGCCAGTCTGCCTTCGTCATGCATCAAACATTAACTTCACATATAATGGATTTAATTTCATCTCTCCATCCACCCCAGCTCCTCTTTTGGAATGCTTATTGTGTGTATGTTTTGGTTATGATTTTTACTACCCCATATCCTGCATTCACACAAACACATGGTAGCACACATACTTAACACTACTAGCATATGCACAATTAAAACACAAGTTCATACTTAAAGCACACACACAGGGCTATGTGTTGACCTGTGAGTCATTGCTGTCAGCATTGATTTCCTTTTCCCCGAGTGACCCCTGTCACCACGGCGATAGAGTGACCGATATTTCATCAGTGCTGCTGGGTCCCTCTGTTTCTCTCAAACCCTGTGGTTTCTTTCTCTCTCTCTCTTTCTGTGAGTCTGATTCTTTATCTCTCTCTGTACTTGCATCCCCTTTGTTGTCTCTTTTCAACTCCTTGTCCACCCCTCTTTTCCTTTGTCCTTGTGTTCATTCTCTCTTCTTAATAGTCCTGTGTGATGAAAAAGCTGGACCACCACAGCTCTTTTTTGAGCTAGGTTCATTTGTATTTTCTTTAAGTTCTTTTTTATATCGCTACAGTATGAATTGACCTCAAAATAACAATGCTGACCCATATTCCCCACTGGTCCTTCACGGACCAATGTTCAGTCAGAAAAAGAGACAGACAGAGACAGGCAGACAGGGTAATGGCAAGGGTTATTTGAGTCCAAGGAGTTGTTCTGCATCTGAGAATGAACAGAAGACTGTGTGTGTTTGTGTCTGCGCTTTTTATCTCAATGTCCTCCTTTCAGAGCAAGTGACTTCCTGTACTACTATTGCGTCAAATATATTATTTTTGAATCCCTAAAGAGGAAAGCCAAATTATTAAGTCATTACAGTAATCGTATTTCAAATTTCATCTTCGATCCTTTCTTCTATATTTGATTTTGTCAACTTTTTGATTAGATTTGGGTGATTTGTGTGCAGTTGGCCCTGTTTGGAAAATGAGCAAAGCAGAAAGCAGAGACATTTTTTTTCTTTCATCAATCGTTTATATAGTTGCATTCCGTTTTTTAATTTCCTCGTCCTTTTCGTTGTCATGTTGCCATGGTCATTAAGATGCACATTCCAAGCAATCAGTCAGGGCCTCACTTAACACCTCTGTTCCCGTGGACTGTCAAACTTCATCACACTTTACAGCACTTGAGAAAATCACTGTCTGTAAAATAATTTTCCTTTATTGAGCAGTGTCTAATTAATAAATAGAAGTAAAAGCTGTATTATGGTGCAAATGTAACTCTCTTTGAATATATCAGCATTAGTTAGATCCCAGAAAAGCAAGTACAGTATTGTTGTTTTCCCTTGAAGGTCATATCATTGTAGATGTAATGTACATAAATGAATAATAAATAATAAATAATAATGAGTAATCTGGATGTCATTTTCTGTATCTCCCAGGTGTCTGCTGTTGATTTGAAGACTATTTTACTGGATGAGCTTGTTGGACCTGCAGTTCACATCCCAGACAGGTATTCTGTACGGCTGACTTCTAATGATTATTAGTCACTCAGTTTCCCTTCTCATCAACAAGGCAATTTTTTTCCAGAAAAAGTTTACTCTTGACTCAAATATTTAATAACATCTTTATAATAACTTTATGAATCGACCACACACACTCACACATACACACTGGTCCCCTCGGTGTAGAGAAAGGTAACAGGGTTGGCCTCAGGGACTCTGTCTCTCCTTAGGGAGGTTGAGGTCCTTAGGGAGTCGCTGCAACACCACTGTCCCCATGGCAATATGCAAATTCCTATATGATATTTCCCACCATGCAGTGCTCCAAGGCCCCTAAAGACTTGTTCTGTTTCTACTTTAGACCTTTCTGGAAAGACAGGGTTTTACCTTAAGTTTCACACATTTTGACAAAACTAATGAAAGAAGCATTTTCTGAATCGAAATCTTCATGCTCATACATATGTACCTATTCCAGATTTTTGCATCGCTAGCAAGGCACCTGGACTCACCAGACCAGGGAGGGGTTTGATATGAGAATGACTTCTGATAATCTCCATCACTTGCTGAAGCTAAAGTTACCTGGTGACAGTTTTCAGTATGTTTAGCTTTGGCTGTATAGTAAGTGCCTTTAGTAGCGGAGCAGCAGTGAGAAGTGTGATACACTGGAGAAGGATCAGGCACACCCTGTTTTTGTCAGTGAAAACTATTGAAAACAATGAAATCAAATTGACCTAATGATAACTTAAATACCATGTCTTCACAGCGACTTTCCATTCCATATCTTGCACTGACAACATATAAAGTAACAGATTTCTGTCAGGGACTATATCATAGAGGTTGACATTGTAATGTTTAGTGTGAGTTCATGAAATAAATCAACTGATTTCCAAACAAAGGGATAATATTACAGTCAATATTTGTTTTTTCAGAAGCTGTCAGTAAGACTACATCCAAATACGGTCTCAAGTAACCAGTCAGTAGTTTGACAGCCTGCAGTGCAGCCAATTAAAGCACCCAGCCAAGCAGGAATGGGTGGTCAGGCACAATGTGGCACAATTGAGTATGTGGCTGTACAGTGTTTCTTTGCCATTCCTGCGAAAGGCACTGAAGGGCGTGATGGATCCTCAGTCAGCGTACTCGCTGTCAGAGACACGGGGATTTGCATCACACCTTGAGCGTTTTAAATGGCTGCACATATAATAATAAAAAAAATGAAATAAATGAAATGAGTAAATCAGGTCTCATGAAATGAAATGACAGGCAGGTTGAAACAGCGGGTGAGTGTGTGTGTTTCTTGCCACCAGCGTCAACATTAAACACATCAGATTGAAGCCACCCTCCAGGGTAGCATCACTCAGCCAGGTGTATGTGTGTGTGTGTGTGTGTGTGTGTGTGTGTAAATGTGAATGGTGAAACCTAAGTCTTTTATCTACTTTTCCATTTCCTCTGTTTTTTTGTTTATCAACAGATTTATTTATATATTTCTGCTGAAATGGTGTACAGAACACACACACTCTCACACACACATTGATCTATCGATGTATTGATGTGTGAGTGGGTGTCATTTTTTTTTTTCCATCTCCCTCCAATTTTTTAATTATTTTCCCTTAGTATAATCTCCTGCAGAGTTTTTTTTCACTTGAGTTAACTTGAGTGCTGTTTTCCTTTGCCAAAAGCAGTCAAATGCTGAAAGTTAGTTAGGTAAAAAAAAAGAAGCTTTGACAGAATATCCTGATTCTCATTTGGGAAAGGTAGGAACTTAACTTATTTCACACTCTGGCAGTATCCCTCAGTGTAACTGTTCTAATTTAAAACTCCAAAACTTTTCTTTGTTAACAAAAGTAATAAGATATTTAGGCTTAGGAGACTGGAGGTTCATTATTGTTACATTATTATTTTGTCCAGCTGTTTTTCTGACAGTCTCCCGAGTCTTCCTTTACCAATTTCTTCTTTGCAAGGACAGTAGTAGATGCACATTACTTTCTATCAGTCTCCTCGCCTCCCCTATCTCTATCTTTCTCTCCCTCCCTCCCTCTCTCTTCCACTTGTCTCTCAGGACGAGAGGAGGATATGTCTCTTTTTCTCCATATTGACTTTCCCAGGTCAGGCTCCTCTTCTCCTATTAGGCCAAGCTAACTGATCAATACACGGGCCTGGTGGGCTGCTGTGCGGACATGCAGACAGGCATTCACAGTGGGCTGTGCCCCGGCCAAGTGCCACGCTCATTAACACACACACACACACACACACACACACACACACACACACACACACACACACACACACACACACACACACAGAGCAGGACATGTGCAGTAGACAAATGTACGCGCTCTCATAAATATAAATGTGTATACGATTCATAATCATACAACTGTGGAAACAATTCCTAAATCCCTACAGTCTGTTATATAGAGTGGCAAATCTTAACACAACTAATCTAATGACTAAATCAATCAGTCAATCATGTATAAATCTATAAATCTTCATCCAGTTGGTTGCTTCTCTGTCAAATGCGGAGATGCAACAAACTCCTCCTCTCCTCTCAAATCTTCTCCTCTCTTCTCCTCCCCTGCTGTTTTCCCAGCTGGTGAGTTGTGACATCTGCAGTGCTGCGACATGGATAAGCAGCTGCCAGAGATGGAGTGAGGGAGAAGGGGAGGGAAGAGGGGAAGGATGGGGAGCCATAGAAGACAATGCAGGGGAGAAGTGAAGAGGGAGGGGTGAAGGGCGCCGACAACCAGCAACAGTTAGGTGTACAGCAGGAGGAGACAGGATTGTGTGTCTGTGTGCATGTGCATAAATGTGTTTACGTGCGTGTCTCTGTGTGAGTGTGTGTCTGTGAATGCACTGTATGTGTGCACATGTGCTGGTGTGTGTGTGCATGGCAGCGTGCCAGGCAGTGCCATCTGGCTGCTTGACAGAGCTCTTCTCATTAACAGGGAGGTTAATTGCTGTGGCAGCACCCAGGCTGTGTCAAACATCACCCTGGGGACACGGAGGCAACAGACGATCTACATGTTTGTGTACGCACACGCACAAATGTGTGTGTGTTTAAGGATAAAATGTGGCGCTGGAAACCCTAAAACTCTTTCCTCAACATAAAAATGGTTAACAACAACCTGCAGTATATTAGCCCTGGCATATGAAGAGGGCAGCGTAGGGCACCTGTGTCCTATGTGTGTGTGTGCGTGCATATGTATGTGCTTGAGCATGTATGCCAGGCAACATGCATGTTTATATTTGTCTTGTGAATTATGTCTTGTTGCTGTAATGATGTAGAAAGAATTGGGTTTACAGAGCCAATGTCTATAGCCCTGAGGGCAAACACACATACACACTCACACACACACACAAACACACACACAAGCACGCACACAGGACAGGGGGAAGGGGTGGCAATTTGCATGTTATTACTGCATATTCATGACTAATTTTGTTAGCCTTGCCTAATAGGCCTGAGTGACAGCTTGAGATATCGAGAGGCTGCTTTAATATCACACACACTCATGGTGACACACACACAAACACACACACACACACACTCTCCTCAGTCATATTCACTCGCCCTGCTCTCTGTGTCCACACAGTAATCATAACAACACTTATGGCTCTAAATAGGAATTCCCTGTTCATCTGTTGGTTTGACATTGTGTCATTTGTTTACCACAACTACTATATTGTATATAACAATATAGTAAATCATAAAGCCTCATTTGTTACATGCATAATCACAACCTATTATACACACAAGCACGCACACACGCACCTTGTATGGCATGAATACATTTGCATTTTGACTTGTTGCAGATCAGAATGTGTTTGTATTTATTTTCCCAAAAGACGCAAATAATGTTAAAATTCAGCCTCTACCTGTATTAAATTCAGTTATTAATGGTGCATAAAATGGAACCTTATGTACCATTAAGTAATACACTTATTTTCTTCTTCAATATTTTAATCTTTGTTGACTGCGCATTAGCTTGGTGTGTGTGCATCACTTAATTTCTAAACAGAATACTTGGCCAAGACAAAATGATGTTCCTTATCTCAGCTAGTGAGCATTTTCTGTACTCTGTATTTTCTGTATATGCATGTACACTCACACACACACAGCACTCTAAACCCACCACCCCACTGTGCAGGTGGAAATAGGGATGAAATTGGCTGCAGTTACTTTTCATTCAAAACCCTCTTTCGATTTTCAACTTGTTCCCATTTCAGACAATTCGTCTCCAAAGAATCTTTCCTAAATTTGGGTGATTTAAGTATTTCTTCACCATACTGAAAGAGAAATAAGTTTTGAAAATGCTAATAAATAGACTAAGCTTTTTCCCTCCATCTAAAAGGCCCTAAAATAAGAAGAAAAATAACGTTATAATGCAACCGTAGAAGGTTTTGTCCTTTGTAAAAAGTTTAGGTTTGAAATTTGTACATAACTTAGGGAATGGTTGTCTTTGTCTACACATTTCTATACATATAAAAGCTTCTGTGCATACTTAAGAGTACACACAGTTTTTGTGCATTCTTTTTCTTAGTGAAATGTTCAGCAAAGTGATAATTCATAACAAAGGAACACTGTAGTTAGACTGGAATAAAAAGTGAATTAGTAGCACAGTGGCACACACTTTCCCATTCTCTTATAGAGACAGAAACAGACTATAATCTAAAGTCATTTTTGTTTCACTCTCCTCTGTGGCTTTTACTCCATTTGACTGAAAAGTTGTTTTTTTTCCTGAAGTGAAAGATTTAACTCTCAGCGCTCTCTATCCACTCACATGTCACTTTTGTCAAATCTTGCCTTTCCTTCCCTGCTTGGTGCGAACGTGCAGACACGCTTGATCAAATGTGAGTTTAACATTTTTAATCTGCGCAAAGTTTCATCAGAATAACTCATCTCATGAGGCTGGTAAATATGAAATTGTGTGTGTGTGTGTGTGTGTGTGTGTGTGTGTGTGTGTGTGTGTGTGTTGTACGTGCCTGTGTGTATACGAAGAGTACTGCACACTACTGTGTGATCTGTTTTTTTTCCTTTTTTGCCTTCCATCTTGGGTGTGTGACAGCTGTCACTGGTGACTCAGAAAGGTGTCTGGGCAGAGTTAACGTATTTTCACCGCTGGGAAACACACACACACTCACACACACATACACAGACACGCACGTACGTGCATATCAGCTCCAGTTGCTGTCACCTAGCACAAATTTCACCAGGCTCAGCATCTCTTTGCTGCTTTTGAATTAGATTTATTTTATGAATCACATATTATATTGTATACACAATGAATGCTATTCACAAAGTGAATTGCTTATTTATTTATTCATTTATTTATTTGTTATTTTATCTTAGAAAGCATTACATTAATTAATTTAACTTAATTAACCATCAAGGTTAATTCAGGATTAGTTTTCTAAAATGTTTTTCATATGTAACATTTCTGTCATTTTTAATACAGTGGAAACACTGCTGTGTTAATTCATTTTATTTGTCCATAAGCATTTACTGTATATGGAGCATAGGTTCATAATTAGGCTTTGTAATTCAGATCACATTTGGTTACTATTACGTTACAGTTTTTTTTCCCCCGTAATTCTTCGACATCTGTCATCCTCTTCCTCCTTTTCCTGCTGCAGTACTGCTTCCTTGGTCCAGATTGCATCCGAGTTAGAAGACCTGAAAATCCAGTTGCAAACCAAGGACATCTTCATCTCTGATCTGGAGAAGGAGCTCAGGGAGAATTTCCAGCAAAAGCAAAAGGTAATCTACTCGACTCGTCCTGATTTGAGCTTATTGCAAAGGATAAACTACGCCACAAAAATGTCATCAATATATTCTGTCCAGTCTTAAAACGTTTTGTGAACAAATCTGCCTATTGGTTATGAATTTAACTTTTTGATTAAATTGAATACAGTATATTGCATACACCTGCAGTTATTTGGACTGTTTCCTTTATTGGTGTTCAAGGTACTTTCTAAAATAAGTAAGCCTGCAATGCAAAAAAAGAAATTGAATCTTATCATTTTAGCAGATTTCTTTCACCACAGTTTTTCATCACAGCTCTACACAATTAAATGACTTGTTAAGGTATTTTTTTGCAGCGTGCTTGTTATTGTTTAGAAGCCTGTCTGAGAGGTGGAGAAGTCTTTTTCTTTTTTTACGATATTGGTTTGGCAGCTGTGCTAGAAACGCTCCATGTGCAGCCAGGTTTAACAGGAAGCCGAGGCGTGTGTGATGAATTACCAGCATATCTCAGAGCCCTGGGTAACAAACATGGCGTCGCCGGCCGGGATTAAAAGGGAGAGTTTTTTACGGCCTTCCCACACCTCCTTACAGGGTGTCACTAAATTATACCCTCTGCTGTTTTACTGTCTTCTGTGGCTTACGGTTAAGACACACGTAAACACACACAGGCTTGCAGAAATGCACACACACACACTTAGATTTGTGCTTGTGGTAAACCCGGGCTTGTTGGTTGTTTATGTGTGTGTTGGCTGGTTACTGTTTGTTTATGCTGCTTGTGAGTTGACTCATTTGCACTGCTGCTAATTAGTGGTTTGTGTGATTATAGAGCCTTAGAGAAACAAACTGCAGCTTGTTCTGTTAATCACATTTTCAACAAATGTTGATATATTTTCTCATTCTGCGTGTGTTTCTGTTTAACTGGTATGTCTGTAATGCAGATGCACAGATAGATCTGCTGGCACAGAATTTCATCTGTGTTTGTTAATAAGCGAGTTTCTGTATGAACACAATAAGTTCATAGAATCTGACGCTTATGAAGGCCAATTAAAACAACTGTATGTCCTTAACAATAAAAACAATGTATGTATACAATTCATTCTTTTGAATTTTTCAGTGCAGAAGGTTTTCATCTGTGATAATATGTGAAATTACTAACATGCTGCAGTGTTTCCTTTACATAACACACACTATTATCATTGTTGTATAGTGGTTTATGTTTGGCAACTCTGTGTCACCCCTGTACAGTCTGAAATCATCATAAATAATTAAAAACATTCATTTAAACTGCTGTCTTACCTGAATAAGACTAAATATAAACATTTTAATGAATTACATATCATATTACAGATTATACTAATGGTAGAAGACAATCTTCCCCAATTAAAAAGAGTTCTGTCCTGAAAAAGTGGGATATTAACAGTTAATATAAAATGTGTATAAAAAGCTACTGATGTTTTGTTAGATAGCTTAAGATTATTGCATGATATTTGTGAAGAAAAACTGTAATTAATAACATTTCTGAAACATCATAAACATTAGTTACAGTTATAGTTTGTCACACTCACTGAAAATATATTTCTTCCTTTGAAATAATCTTTAATATTTAAAATCTGTCATGGCCCAGACTGCAACACAGGTGCTGGAAAGTAGTGAGAGGCTGGTGCACCTGCAGAGCGAGCTCTCTTGTCTGCAGCGGATCCAGAAAGACAACATGAAGGAGATTGCTGAGAAAAACATCTGCATCACCAAGCTGCAAGCTAACATTCAGCTGCTGCAACAAGAGGGGGCCGACACACATGCTCAGGTGGGCAGAGACTCAAATGTGCATGAGTTGCAGTGGTGGAAGAAGTATTTAGATCTTTTACTCAAGTAAAAGTATCAATACAACAGCGTAAAAATACTCCATTACAAGTAAAAGTCCTGCATTTAAAATCCTACTTATGTAAAAGTTGACAAAATAAAATCAGCAAAATATACATAGTGTATGAAAAGTACAAGCACTAATTCTGCAGTAAAATGTCCCCTGTCTGATTTATTATTCTATCTCAGTGGTTCTCCACCTTTTTCCTTAAGGGACTCCTTTCATATCATTGAGTTAAGTGACGACCCCTGACTTAGTGACATATTTTATGGATATGTTATATTATATTCAATGCATAACAATATCAGTACAGAACAACTGATGAACTGTACAATCAAGACAAATAGTCAACGCATTGTTCTGTTAGCTCTTTGGTTGTTTTAGCTACATACTTTTCTAATGCAGGATGACAGCAGACAGTGAAGACTCTGTGAATATGGCTTGTGTTCAGATCTCCACTGTTCCCTTATAATGCGAGATTTAAGTTTATATTGTAAATAATAATCTAAACTTTGAAAATAACAATTTAATTTGGTTTTCCTCATAGACGTGAATAAACTGCTGAGATAATACATACTGTGTAGTTTTCTAGAAAGGTTTTCTCACCCCCCTTAAAATCAAGAAGGCCTCATGACCCCCTGTGAAGCTTTGACAACCTCTAGTGGGGGTTGGGACCATCAGGTTGGCAGCCAGTGTTATATCTGACATTATTAAACTGTTAATAGGGGGGTCAGAGGCCCCCAAAGATAAATGTTAGGCGTTGTGAGATGATTAATGGAAGAGGAAAGAAGGAAACGTTTCTATATTTTGGACCTGCCTGTAATCTTTGATTTTTTGCAAAATATTGGATTTATTTAAATGAAACCATGTGAGCGCTTCATAGACATGTGAAACATAACAAGGTGCCCGAACTACACATTATATTATATAAGAGGTTGCAAGTCAAACAGTTTGGAGACCACTGGTTTAATAATAATTCAGATGTGTTGTATTTTCTTAATTTTGACCATATGAGTTTAAGTAACTACACCAAATAAATGTAGTGAAGTAAAACGTTCAATATTTTACTCTTGTAGTATAAAGTAGCATAAAAAGCAAATACTCAACTAAACTTCTGTAATGGAGAAAATGCAAATTTCCTCCACTGATTATTGGGATTTCTGTTTGCACACATGTACCTCAGTAGATACTGTAAATGAAAAACATATCTGATAATATAAACATAAATGCACTCACTAGTCACTCAAAAAATATTTTTTTAACCAGATATTTCAGATTAGTTTTCAGATTAAGTGACTGGTACCTCATTTGTTTTACTGAGTGCAGAGATATGACTGCCTGCACATTTAAAAAAAAAAAAAAAAATGTCTGTCTGACTTCAGCTCTCCAAACTGAGTGTGAGAGCGAAGGAGCTTCAGCAGGATGAGCTGAAGAGAAAAGAGGAGGAATGGAGGCAAAGAGAAGAGGAACAGAGACTGAAACATGAAAAGGAGATTCAACAAGCAGAGGAGAGGAGAAGGCAGGAGCAACAAACAAGAGAGGAGGAGGAGTGGGTGAAGAAAGTGGAGGAGGAGAGGAAGAGGCAGGAGTGGAAGAGGGAGCGTGAGGAGGAGAGAAAGACCCTTGCTGAAGCTGTTAAAAAGTGGTCTGAGAAGGCAGCTATTTTGAATTCTGAGGTGAGTATATTAATGTACTAAGTAGCTCTATTGTATTTAACCAGAGTACTCAACAATGGGGGATAATGTGTAAACTTGGCTGCAAAAGAGAAAATTGATTCTTTTCATTGTGTCCCCTCGTTTTAATTCCTGTGTATGATATTATGCTTTTTTTAAATAGTACCTCCAAATCAAAGATTTCTAAAACCAAGGGAAGCTAAAGACACTCATCATGAACCCAAGTCACCTCCCTCTACAGTTAATACATTACAAGAATCATTCAATTAATAATAAAATGCACATGTTTAAAATAGTCTCTCCTCTTTTGAGCTTTCATAATTTATATGATGAAGTTTTCTTGAAGCTGTTTTAGCATGTGTACTTACAGTAGGACAGAAGACAACATATTTACACGCATGCATGTTCACACACTTACACAGAAAACAACAAAATACTTAACCTTAATTCAGACCTCAGACACTCTCTCCTCTCCTCCACCCCCTCACCTCCCACCCCCTCTTCCTTCCATCCTGCCATCTCGCCACAACCGCTCCAAATTAATCTGCAAAATATTGATTTGAGGAGCAAGGGGGTGGGGGGGGTGGGGGCCACACGATTGCGGCCGCATATTAATACGAACAGGCCGCTCTTCGTCTCTCCTCTATACTTTAAGATCCTCATATCTTCATAATTGATTAATGTTCCTTTGTGAAGTGGGGATGAATAATACATTAGTGGGCCTGCTGCACCCTCAGGCTGATGAGAAAATGTTTAATTTCAGTAAATGTAGCACTCCCGCTCTCTTTCTCTCTCTTTCATTTTCCCTCTCTGGTTATTTGTGAGTGTTGGAGTGTGTTTGTGAGTTTTCACTTGTGAGCTGAAGACTAGAGGAGCGTTGTTGATTTGCTTTTTTCGTGTTTACTGTCGGCTTGAAGCGCATGTTAAGCATCACAAACAAAAGACAGCATCTGCATTTGCAAACACGAATGAATAAATTGGTGAAATGAGCCCAGTATTGTTCCATTAACTGATAGAACTGCAAGAGTTGTGTCACTTTACTACCTGTTTGCCCGTAAAAAAAAAAGAAAAAAGAAATCAGCCCGTTGGACATTTTTGCCTACATTGCATTGGAATGCACTGCGAACATCAGCTGCTACAATATCCATCAGCAATCAGTGAAAACATGCAAATGTGCCATAAACCCACCTGATGGAGACAAGTAGCCTCTTCAGCAGCCTGGAAAGGTGCCGGGAGGGTGACATATGTCAGTTGCTGTGACTGGCACAGCCTGGCTCGACTCAGCTCATCTGGTTAACAATGCTAATTATGCTAAACAGAAGCCTAATGATGATGATTAGGGATTTAAGAGCTGCAGCATGGCACGCCTCGCATGTGTGTGTGTGTGTGTGTGTGTGTATGTGTGTGAGATGGGGGGGGGTTGTCTGGCACCTGCTGGTGAGCATCTGTGTGTGTAGAATAGATAAATGATGAAGTGAACACACACATACACCCACAGGTCTCACTTCATGGCTATTTAGCTTTGCTTCATTTTCCATTTGAACTTGTGCCAGTGATGAAGGGGATCTATACACATGCACAGCTTCATACATGCACCCAGAGCGCTAATTGAATAAATAATACTTATCTGTTAACAAGCATCCTAATTAGTTATGCTAATCAGCTTAGATAACCCAATTAACCTCATAGAGTGAGGAAGGGAGGGCTCCTCTTTGTTTTTATATGTGGGTGTGGATTTATATGCCTGAGAGCAGATCAGAGACACTTAAGAAAACACATTTGCCTAATTAGTTTTCAATGACATAGACAAGCATTTATGTTTTTTTTCAAGTCCTTATTGTTCTGCTTTTGAATGCGAGGAAATAGACTTTTCACACCAAGAAAATAAGTGGCATTGAATTCATGTTAACAGTGCTTGTGCATTTTCTCTATGCTTATGCGAGAATATACCGTATGCATTTATACTGTCTTCTGCCAGTCTGTCTTTCAGTTAGATCCACATGGACATGTATATTTTTACAACTATTATGGTAGTTTAAACAGAGTGTGTATTTATTCAGAGAATGTCTGCCTGTTCCATTAGTTTATGTCCTTGGAAATACAATTTGGCCTCAAGTTCTCTCCGTTTATTTAAAACCTTCAGTCAGCGTTCCCATCCTAATAGTGAGCCGTGTTTCCTCTCGTTTAGCTCCACCACTCATTATCCGGGCCATGTGGAAGAGACAGTGTTTAGAGAGGGGTGGGAGAGAGACTTGGAGAGGGACAGGGAGAGATAGAGAGAGCGGTAGGAAATGAGCAAAGGCGAGAGCAAACCAGAAAGAAAAAAGACAGAGGGAATGAATGAGTGACTGAAAGAGGGAGAATGTAGATTTTCTTTGAACCTGACCACAGCTTCTTGTGCTTCTAATGAATGTTGAGGAGAGAGAAGGGAGGGAGACACCCAGACAAGACTGTCTTTGTTGTGCCTATGCAAGAAAGAAAGAGGGAGAGCAAGAGAGGGAACACAACAGATTTATGTCTTACAGGAAGTCTCCCAGATTTGTGGTGTCGCAAACCGCCTCCCCCGAGTCAGCTGCATGCTCTGGCTTTTAATTAATAGTCAGTTTAAGTTTCTGTGCACACTTGAGTCTATGTTTTCATGTATCGAGTATTCGTGTACGCGTGTGCATCTGTTTGTCTCTGTGGCATGTGCCTGTGTGCCTGTGTTTACAACACACAGTTTATCATGTGCAGTTTGTATATGAGAATTAGTTTTGACAGAGCAGCACTCATCCGCTCCTCTGGTTTGGGCTGCATGGCTGACAGCGGGAGAGCTTCAATTAAAACACACACAGCGTCAGAATTATTTGACAAGAGTTACATTTTGTGCCGGAGCTCAGACAAGAGTCCTTAATGAGTGGCAACTGAGATATTTTCTCATCTCTTGGAGTGCCACCACATCTCAGCTACATGCTATTTATCTTTCAATTGTTTTATTTATGTGGACTGCCGTGGATTTTCTTTTTTGTTTTAGAACAGTTTAAGGGCTGCCCTCAAAATCGACTAAAGGTGTTAAAAAAAATGAATAACGTATTAAATGCTGCGCCCAACATTAGCATTAGGTCATGGCACCTTTGCTAATGTGCTAATGGAATTCACTGCGGTGAGCTAAACTGCGGTGCTTGACGTCCAAAGCCTGCACTTCTGTAATGGGAAGACCAAACAGTGGATGCTACTCTGTGCAGTGCGGGTCTTGAATGTGGGTTGAGATGCTAATATTAGCTCATGCTCACTTCAGCTGACTCATCTCCTCTGTGTCCTTGGCTTATTAACTGATTTAAGACTGATTAGATCAATCTTGCGCGAACATGCACTGGCACGCACACGCACCGAATTTGAATATCAAAATGGAATTGCTTGACCAGTGAAAACTAGATTAATTCAAAATGTTTGCATCAAGGTGTAGGTAAAAAGGATGACTGTGCATATTTTTAATGCACCTTGCAGCATTTAAAGCCATTTATGACATTATCTAAAGCTCATGTTATGCAAACACATTTTGCAAGTCAAATCCACTTATGTTGAGAATACTTCATGCTCCTTTTTCTCCTTTGCCTTGATTTGACTTCATGAGATCATCAGCGTAGGTATTGATTTTGCACTCCATTTGATGGAGTTTTAGTGAGCTAAAATGTGTATACCTCTTCCATAATAACATACCACAGTAACAAAGTAATGATGTTGAGCTCTATTACTAGAATAGTGTAATATGCATGCCATGTACTTTTCAAACGGACATGCCTCTAATACACTGACAGGATTTAGGTAAGAGATTAAAGAAATATTTGAACTTTTTTTTTACGTCTTCTCTACAAGGACAACAGTGTTCAACCATTTACCACAGCCCTGTTATTCCAACCTCCTAAGTGTCTCTTTATCTAGCTTCTTCAAGGTTGCGTAAACAGATTGGCCATTGCTCTGCCACACATAGCTTTTCTTCTCTCTAGTCTCCAGGAACTGTCAAGAGACTGCACTGTTGCTACCAGGTCAAATCTCCTGACAACCTGACAGCATGGTGGTAGGTGATGTAAGTTTGGCCTAGAAACCTCCCACATCCCTGTTCTTCATTTCTATTGTGTCATTGTTGTGGTTGATGTGAGAACCCACTGCACTATTTGAATGTGTTGCTCAGTTCTACTCTGAGCTATTTGATCAGCTCAGAACACGATGTTAACACTTTCAGATAGTTGCTGTGGTAAACAAGAGAAAGTTGTTTTGCCGTCTGTTAGAGTTTGAAAGTAGAGTGTCAATTTCACTTAGTACTTTTCATGTTAGATGCAAGGTAGTGAAGAGTACTCAGCCGATGTAAAATGTGTATGTTTGTGCGTGTGCTCATGCACAGGATTGAGCGTATCTGCCTCTCTTTATGTGTGTGTCTGTGACAGTTTCCTCTCAAGATGTTAATTCCTCTCCTCCCTGTTGTTGTCATGCTTACACCAGCAGTGTGTGCACCAGGGAGACGAAGACATATTGGTGTTAATGAAAAGCCCTCCTAAACTCTCCTCCCTGCATGAATGTTTAAACATGCTTGTCATAACATTCATTCGCTCACACATGACAGCTAGCATCTGCAGCTGCCTTGCTCGCCCTCAATATTTTATCATACCATCTCCCCTAACCCCACTCCAGCACAATGGCTGTGTGTTAGCAAACTGAATTATAATGACTCAAAACAGGCCATGTTCAGACTCACTGCCAGCACAGGCCATACATAATGGATTCAGCAACACCACAGGTCTCATAATGGTACAATTAGTCAATTTTAAATATGAAAGAAAGAGAAGACGGCCAAATTAAGGAAATGTGATTGTACATAGAGGGAAAGAAAAACCGAAGAAGATTGAGATAAATAAAGATGATGAGAGAAAGAGGAAAAAAAGAAGCAAAAAAAGAAAGTAAGAGTGGGCTTGTGTAAAGAAAAAGGAAAAAAAGGAAGACAGAAAAAAAAGGAAAAGAACAAAAAAGCAAAGGAAGAACGAGAGAAATCCCCATGTCCATATACAGTATGCTATTCAGAAGTCCCATAACACTGCAGGTCAGCAGTTGTGACCTTGGTGGTTTTGACAGAAGTGGTTCACCATGGTAACGGTTGGTCTGCAACCCTCAGAACACCCCCGCACCCCTCATCACTCCCCAGCCTTCCTCACTGCCTCTCTGCCAATTTGATTGGACGCACAATTGAAATGTCATGCCTCAGCAACACACATGCACACGCACCAGATCAACCAGACTGAAACCGGTGGAATGAAAGAACAGGGCACGCTGTACAAGTCAGGATGAGAGAAACCAGAGACAAAAGTAACACACTAAGAGGAGAGAAGGGTTTTAGTTGAGCCTCATGTCACTGTGGTATTTCACATAGCAGGAAAAAGTGGGGTTAACATTGTGTGGTGGGCGAGGAGACCTAGGCACAGAGCATCAAAGCAGAGAGGCTTGTCATAGCCGCTGAATACAGAATCAAATGAATATTAATGTGGAACCAATTACCTCAGGGAAATGTTGTCTGTAGGTTAGCTTTGCTAACGCATGTGTCTCACCTTTAGCAAAGTGGAAGCAGTGGGGGGGGAAGCCTGGAGGGTGGACAGCACTGATGTATTCGTTTTCCTCCTAACAAGCTTGTCTACCCCTGCTAAAATAGAATTGTCCACCACGCAGCTCCTCCCCTCCCTTCTCCATAGTTCACCTAGATGCAAACTGTATTTTTTTTTTGTTCAGTGAATTATGGAGAGAATATATGATACAATTCTTCAACAACGCCCATGGCTAAGAGGTAGTTAATACTGGCGCCATTCCTGACAATGTTGTTTGTTTGCAAAAGATTTGATAAGCAAACAACAAAGCAAAATATCATTTATAAATGTTTTGATACAATATTACGTTTTTTTTCTATATCAAGCTTGGTTAAATAATATAACTTTTGAACATAATATAAGCCAATAAACAAAAATGGGCTTTTAAAGTCCCTTAGAAGCACATTTTCATTTCACTTGTCATCAGCAGTGCCAACAATTACAAAAGCCCCTGTATTTTCCTGTATGCGGCAGTTTTGAGGCTCTGTAGTGGTGACATGTATACTATCTTGTTGTGTGAGCAGCTTAGCACAGTGCAGTCCTGATCTGTGCAGGTCTCTAGCTACTGCTGATCTGCATAAGTGACTGTGCCACACTTAAAGCCGCTGGCTCCTTAAAGCCCCTTCTAAATCAGTGTTAAAGCCTTGATAATAGACCTCACTGACCAATTGATTGGCCTTCATATGTTTACAGCTCACTTTAATTGCCTCAAAAATACCATTTATCAGCCATGTGTGTCCATGTATGCATGCATGTGTGTGTGCAAGCGTGCCTGTCCATTGACAAAAAGGCGTATTGATTTATCAGCATCGGGATTTGTCCCGTTCACCGTACATAAAACCCCTGCGTATGTGCTGTTCAAAATGGGAAATGGCCCCATCGATTCCCTTAAGTTGGAGCCCAAATGCTAAAGATTTTTGGATAAGCTTTCTCATTATTTAAGCTGAAATCAATAGGGGAGAGCATGGGTCTAATGAATGAACGGGCCACAGATCAGATGGGGTGTGCTCATCCCTGGCCTGTCCTGGTCGATCTGTGTGCGTGCGCGTGTGTGTTGTGCATGAGAGAGAGAGAGAGAGAGAGAGAGAGAGAGAGAGAGAGAGAGAGAGAGAAGAACTTGACTATTTGCACATCACAAACCTTTTTCTTTGGCACTCAAAAAAATTCACACTGTAGGACCATCTGTGTCTTTATTTACCCATTGCTGTTTCATTAAGGGAAATGTAAAATGCAATAGGACATGTAATCACACTGTGTCTAATTAAGCTTCAAAGTAGCCTATGTCGGGGATTTTAACATTTTCTGTTGTCATTATTATGATTGAGCCGTTTCCCATCCCGCTCTCTCTGTCTCTCTGTAGTTGAAGGTCAGCAGGAAGCAGGTGGAGCGACAGAACAGGGAGCTGTCAGAGTCTCACCAGAAGGAGGAGACGCTTCTCTCTGAGGTACAGAAAACACAAGAAAAAAACATTCCCTGCATCCATGTGTGTCACCTTATTCGTTTAGCGGTGCTCCCGCCTCACCCCTAGCTTGAAAATTGACTCCACAGCTTGAAAAAAAATTAGAAATGCAATGAAAATTCATCATCTGGTCTCATCTGGCCTCTTAAGGCCCACTTTCCCCATGGGGGTCAGCGTAGTGTGATTTTATCTTTGGCTTAGACCACATCCAAAGGGGAAATAAATTACAGAATAAAACATATACAACAGCAATACCTACTGCAAGTTATGATGGGAGTGACCCAGGAGTGAAAATTTGAAAAACAAAATTATTCCTGACACCCAACACCTACAAATACTATCCTGATTAAACATACATCTGCATGGGAATATAATATGCAGTAGATGTGTGTCAGCCAAACCAAAATTTGTCCAGACACACACACACACACACACACACACACACACACACACACACACACACACACCATCTACCCCTCCCAACTGTAACCCCTCTGGCTGACTTTTTGGTTTTTCCACTTTCCATTCTTTCCACACTTCTGGAGTATCAAAATGACACAGGGTGGTGTATCTCTAGGAAATTGTCTTTGGCCGAGCATGCAGGCGCTGCCTTTCAGACTACATTTACCAGACAATTGCTAATAGTTTCACTTTGTGGTTTGGCCAACTCATGGAATTAACTACATTAATAATTAGTCACAGCTGATACAACAGACAGTTGTCATTTCAGCTGGTGAAAAGGACACTCGCCAGCTGAAAATGAGAAGCCTGCAGACATTTAAAGTTGATAATAAATTGATAATATTGCAGTCAGTAAATATCACATACATGTGAGGTGGCCTACTTAACCACTGTTTAGTGGATTTCTGCCATGTGGCTTCAAATAAGAAGAGCAATGAGTAATTTGTCCATATCAACAATATCAACAAAGAAGGAGACTCTGGAGTGCAAATATCACTAACCAGCCCAATTTTCAAATAGTAAACTCCCTGTCCCTTCCCCTCACTCCCCTCTAAGGTGTCCCGCCTTTTCAGCTCATAAATATGGAAGGCGAAAGATGATGAGATTCACGGACAAGAAAGGAATCAAAATCTATTGTTGCGTGTCCTTTTCCCCGTGTAAAGTTTGGATTAAATGTCACACATTAGCATGTGAACTTTTAAATGAGCTTGTTTGCTCTCCGCGGTGTGGGGCATGTAAATACCCATCTTGAGTATGGAATGGGGATTGCTTTGTGGGGGGGTTGGGGTTCACAAGAATTGGGGTGTGTAGGACATATTTGAGTCTTGCACCGGCAATTAGGCCGCAGCAAGGGACTGGAGTACCAAACAGCTCTATTGACTGGTTGTGTCTAGCTGGTGTTCCACACCTGAAGTGGCAGATAGTGGCAGATGGGAAAGTTCCCTGATGGCTGTGGCTTCTGGTGAGTTGAGAGAAGGAGATGATTGGCAAGCACTCCCAAAATGAGATGATTGACGTGCACTGTCAAAATGAATCTACTCGTGGGCAAATGCAGGTGTGAGTGAAAGGCAATGTGTGTGCGCAAATAAACATGGATATAGTTACATTGTAACCTTGGTGGAGTGTAGCTCTGAGATACTGACCATTAAAGAGTTCACATATGAGCTGTCTAAAGTGTTATGTATTATGTATATTTTTGTTTTATTTATCAAAGCTGATATTTTAGATATTAATATGTCCATATACTGCATAATTTTTGCTTAAAAAGAAGTGAGACAGAACCTTATGTTTCTGAGCTGAAAATGTGCCATGATGATGTGCATGTGTGTGTATGTATCCATGGCTGTGTAAGATATTTGATAGTAACCAAACACTATTCTATATTTGCACGTTTTTTTCATTGACTATGATTCTCTTTGTTTTAAAATGTGAGCCTGCTTATTTATTGACATAATTTCCTCTCAGTGAAGGGCTTGTGTCTGTAAAACACATTAAAATCATAATGCAATCTTTGCTAACCCAGGAGCAACGTTATTGTTCTATTATACTCACCGAACAACAGCATCCCAGCCTGTTTATCAATCCAATATCTCATAATGTGCTCTCTGCCTGGTCATTTTGAATATAAAAAGATCTCACACTGTTATTGTACCATATTTCCTATATTTAGTATTAATCTCTTGTTCTGACATGAATCTGACACATCCAATATGATATTTGATTAGTTGTTGTTTTTGTTTTTTTAGTATAGTCTCCAGGTGATATTGGATACATGTGCAGAGCTGGTATTATGTTGGCTGTTTCATCTGGGTATAAAAATGATTTAGTGTGTACTCAGCACGCAGTGTCATTGACTAGCTTTAATTTCACTGCAAGGGTGGGCTTTATTACTCCGCTACTCTCTGAGTGAGTGAGTGAGTGAGTGAATGTGTGTGTGTGTGTGTGTGTGTGTGTGTGTGTGTGTGTGTGTGTGTGTGTGTGTGTGTGAGAGAGAGAGAGAGAGAGAGAGAGAGAGAGAGAGAGAGAGAGAGAGAGAGAGAATGAATGTTTCTGTACATATATATTGGTGTGTTTTCATGCTCGCTGGTATAGCAGCAGGCCACACCTGTGCACACACATGTACCTCTGCATATCTCTGTATATCTCTCCATTCCTGCTGTATATCCAGCATCTTCAGCATGTAATTACCATTCAATGGAAGAATCAACTAAACCAACATGTGGAACAGGTCTCACATCACACTCAGGCTGCACCGGTGGTCCCAGTGCAAGAAACAGAGGGGCTCCACTTTGCCGTGACAAACCTTACTTCTGATCAAATGCTACAGAGCCATAATCATGTTTGTGCCACTGAATTCTTTAACCTTTCAATGACCCCGCTGAATGCCAGCGGCCCAATCATAGAACCTAATTGAATCTGCTCGGCGGCGCCCCCCCCGACTGATGAAAAAATAAAATTGGAGGTGAAAAATGAATACAGCAGCAGCAGAGAGAGAGAGCGAGAGAGAGAGAGAGATGGAGGGAGGTGACGCTGGTGGAGGGGGGTGGGGGTGGGGGTTATGGGGGTGTCGCACCGCAGTTTTATAAATACACAGATGTGCTCACAAACACACACCCAGTCACGTACACACCGTCACACCTTTTTCAATCCCGCAGGAGAGTGAGGAGTGGGAAATGACAGAGAGAGAGAGAGAGATAGAGAGAGAGGGGTTGGGCCCAGGTTTCTCATTACCCCCTCGGCCCATTCGGAGGATATTCCTATAAGATAATCTGATTTATTTGCAATTTTCCTTTAAGCGGCTTAGTGTTTACCTCCAAGATTAATATTTTTCTCTGTTATTAATATCAGACTGTAATTAGGAGTGATGTGTCTTGCACTGCACAGTTCCGTGGCCGCCAGGCAGCTCGCTGGATGAAACTCTTGTTGCGACTCTGTGATCCTGACAAAAAAAAAAGAAAGAAAAGAGAAGGAAGTTTCAAAAGGAGGAAAGAGGCTGCAGGGTGGGGATGTAGAATTACAATTGCGGCATACCTTTCTTTGTGTCTACGGTGTGTGCAGGACCATACAAATATGTGAGTGTGTATTTCTTTAGTTTATGTGCACCGTGTGTGTGACAGTGTGATGGTCCCCTCTGATTGATAAGGTGTCTGTGCCGGCTGCAGATTGCTCTTGCTGATTGCTTCTGAGAGCTCCAGCTGATTTATAATCAGAGCAGGATGAAGGATTGAGCTGTGGATTGCTTATCTGTTTAGCCCCCTCACAACATAAACTGACAAATTATCATGTTGAACACACACACACACACACACACAGACACACACACACGTGAAAGAAAAAATAAAACGTAATAATGTGGACCTTCTTATTAAACTCACACAGACACACTATCATATGAACAGAATTTTGCAGACAAACACACACACACACACACTCTGGCCACACAACATAAGCACTTTTTATTTATCCACGCAGTCACATTTTCATGATTGCCCAAAAGAGTACAATCAGTCTCATTTGTTTACATGTCAACATCAGATATATGTAAGTCAACTTAAGTTGCAATTAACTTGTTTTATGCACTTAGAGTTTTGATTTGCTCCGTGCTGAAGAATGATTTGGAAGATTCTGCACCAATGATCAAGGACGTGGGTCTTTTAGGGTTTTTTTAGTTTTTTTTTTTTTTTTTGACACACACTCACTGCTTATTTTACCTGATTTTTAACAGCTTGTCTGTTTCCGCATTTCCACACACCCCCTGATATCTGCACCGTGGGAAGAGTGGCTAAAACGCCTAAGACAATATAACATACATACTTTAATTGTGCCAGGTGAAGAGATTATGATTGTGTTTAAAACATTATAGTTATCTAATATAACTAAACTAAACTAACTGTTTGTTGTTTTTGATAAAGAGGCTGGCATATTATGTGAGACTAATTCCACTTGGCAAGCCAGAGTACAAGCTAGCAGGTTTAAATGCTGACAGGTTTAGTATGCCCTATGGCACTGTGACAGTTCTGTGTGAGAGAGAGAGTGTGTGTGTGTGTGTGTGTGTGTGTGTGTCTTCCTGTCTTTCTCTCCTTTCCCATTCTTACCTGTCTGTCTGATTATCTTACTTTCTCTCTTTTCACCACAGTTGTTTGTAAATGCACAGTGACAGAATCACGGAAGAAGCACAAAAACACAAAGTACAGGAACACTTGTTATACAGACACACGCACACACAGACACACACACACACACACACACACTGACGAATGGCAGCAATTAGATGGGGAAACCAAGCATGTGAGGACAGAGGAGCGCTGAGGGGCTGCAACCGCTGTATGGAACGTGTGTGTGTGCGCGCTTGTTTTATGTGTTTGTGTATTTGGAAGGTTTTTATCCTTCTAATGCACCATCCATCTGTCTAAATATCAACACTGTCTCATATGTCACTGGATAGCGGCTGTGGTGGGGTGCAGTTAACATTTGCAATCAAGTACCAAATAAGAAAAGGACTGGACTACAACATTATCACTTTGCAAAAATTAATTGCTCATGGGACTAAAGCTGGAGCAGAAATGCTTTTGTATTTGGCAGCAGCCACACTTCTGTGTAAAAACGCCACAGACAGAAAAGAACAGAAATGCTTGTAATTTTTGTTTTCTCTTGCTCTGGTTCCATGTTGGCCTACTGAGTTGTTTAACCCATTGACACTGAGACCTTGAGTTTTCGCAGCCCTTCTACTCGCTTCCCATTGGAAGAATAACTTTCCAACTCCAGTCAGAGCAGCAGTCACTTCTCATCTTCCCTTTTATTTCGAGAATTCATCTTTTCAAGAAATACCTCACAGCAGCTTCTCCTCTCCAAATCAATGACATCTCTATCCGCCCCAATTGCCATGTAATAAACAAATGTATATCCTTACCTAGCCCTGTATCTTTTCTAGGATTTCTCTGCTTTTATTAAACAATTTGATGGCTTTTTACTTACATGTCATCACAGACTTAATGTGCAGGTAATATGGTCTTGTCTCTTAATCATTTTCAGGCCATGGAGGATGCCTTTCTTTTATCTCGTGTTTCATATTTTTTCCAACCCTGCGTTAGTGCAAGATGAGATGGCAGTGCAGAATTGCATATTTGAAAGTCGCTATTTATAATATACAGTAGTCAAGTAATAAAACAAAGTCATGCCAGATTTATTTATATAAAAAGATTTAAGAAACATTGTAAAAACTGTGTGCATAACAAACATTTAAAAACAAACAACACCGGTGACTTCTTTCCCATGCTTCACAGATGTGAAGAGAGCTACATAATCCAACTTTCCTAAAACATATCATGTGTCTGTCAGTTTTTTTTTTTATTGCAAGCATTTGTGGAGGGTGTGATGTGCGTGAGAGCACATTTGTGTGGCTTTGTGTTATTAATGGTTTTGCCTTCATGCCAACTTTTTGCTGGTCTGATTTATTCTCTCCTCTCTGGGATTGTGCAGATTTTACAAGCAGGTGTATGTGTGCGCGTGCGTAGATTTGTATTTACGGCCAGTAGAGATGTGTGTTAGACATAGGTACTGATGAATAACCTCACTTCTGATTGCTTACATCACAAATCATCCCCATATTATAACCCTTCTCATGCAAATAAGTGGTACTGTGTGTGTGTGTGTGCGCGCACGCACATGTGAGAAAGAGACTATCAATACATGTGTCTACAAAATAATGCAAGCTGTTATTTACATATAAACTAAATGTACATTCAGTTCATATATGTATTGTATAGTATCTATGTTATGAATAAGAAAGTCTGTGTGTGTGTGTGTGTGTGTGTGGTAACCCTGTATCGCTGGCGAGCTCATTTCTCTCAGAAATCAAAGTTAAATGGGTCATCTATCATGAGAATATGTGACTGGGACACTTCTCTGCCACGTGTGTGTGCGCAAATATGCACACAAATACAAGGTGTGTGGTGCACGGGCAGCTGTGTGCACTCTCTCTTGGCGTGTGTCTGTGTGCGTGCATGTGTGTATGTGCCGGCCACTTGTCTTTGCCTGCGCTATGATTAATGGTTTACATTGGGCTGTTCAGCCATGCATGTTTCTTGGTTTATCGTTTTATGCTGTCTCCAATTAAAGCTCCATAACTTGAGTGATGGCTTCACGCCAGTGTCCATCAATAGAGGCCATCAGCGGCCTTATGCATTCAGGATATGGAAGCCACACACTAACTAATATCCTCTTGTGTCAGAGCCAGTGGGCAGTCTGTGTGTGTGTGTGTGTGTGTGAATATGCAGATACCTGTGTGTGTGTGTGTGTGTGTGTGTGGTGTGTGTGTGTGTGTGTGTGTGTGTGTGTGTGTGTGTGTGTGTGTGTGTGCACGTAAATTAAAAAAATACTGAAAAATATTGATTTTAACTGATCTAACCAATAACCCTCTCGAGTAAATCTAGTTGTACTTCTTAAAATCTTATCTTAAAAGAAATTGAATAAATTGTCAGAGGGGTAAAATAATACCACTTTTTAAAATCTAATCAATATTAATCATCAAGTCAATTAATCATCCTGATCAAGTGGAATCTTTTCATCCTCATGGCAGTTTCTTTCTTTTATTTGACATTATAAGGAAAGCTGAACTGAAAGTCTTTATACAGTAATAAGAGAAGCCTAATTGTTTGCAGTGTGCATGCATGCAGAATTTTGCATCTGTGTGTGTGGAGGTCTGCTGAAGGAAAGTAGTAGGTGATACATACATCTGGACGCGTGAGCTTGTTCATGTGTGCACCACACAGTCATGCACGCGCCGCGCAATATCATTTCACGCAATATTATTTCTCATATAGCCATAATGACATTAGGCCGATATGTTGATTATACTGTCGGCAAACAGCAGCCCGTTGATTGGGTTAGCATATTACCTTATATCACATCTCTCCATTCATCCCTGTGTTTTTTTTTTTATTGCCCTCATTTTTCCAAATCACTTCCCACTTCCCCAGTTTCCTGGGCGAGGTTCCAGGCTATGCAAGCAGGTGATGTGGAGTAATATGATGATAGGAAGGCACAACAATGCAAGAGAGGAAAAACTAAAATCTGAGAGCAGCTGTTGTTGTTACATGTCTGGATGTAGGACAAAGCCTAGTTGTAAGATAGCAAAGTGTGTGCGAATACAGAGGTTAATAAATATTTAATCACGCTGACAAATACACAAATGTATGATGCAGGTTGAGTGTGTGATGGTTTCCGGTCAGCATGTGTTTTGAATAAAGGAAAGTAAGAACTGCAGATTGGTAAGGAAAAATAGGGTGTGATTTAGTGAAGACCCAGAATAAGTAGGGGGGTAGGGAGGCAGGAGGCAGAGAGATATTTCAGCGTGGGCTACTCAAATTGTTAGAGAGAATGAGATTTCATTTGCAGTTGGGACATTGAGTGATGACACCCGTGGTGTGTCTCTGTTTGTGTTTGTTTGTGTCCTATATTCACATAGAATATACACACACATACGGTACGTATACAAGGTATGTATATATCTATGTATATATATATATCTATGTATATAGATATATATATATATAGTACAAACTGCAGGATTGCTCTCAGGATTGCTTGTGTATTTCTTCTCCGTGTGTTAGTTCCCTCTTAAACACCAGCCTCTAAGCTCAGTGGCAAAAATCAAAATCACTAGAAAACACACTACAACAGTATAGATTCACCTCTCTTCCTCTTCTCCCTTGCCAACGTGTACACACATACTGTATACACTCAAACATGGCTTTCATTATTAACCAGGGGGAAACCAACTCTACACAAAACACCACAGGCAATATTTATGGTATGGTGAAACAGAGACTTTTGGTGTTGTTTGACTCTTAACACAGCCATATGAGCATGTCTAACTGTCAAGATAGGAAATTTCACTGCAAATTACTAATGGTGTTATTGGATATTTGCACCACATGTGCAGGTAATGATTTAGCCATGCATAGTGTACAGTAGGACACACAGGCAGTAAATGGAAAAAAGATAACAATAACAATAACTCACATCAGCCATCGCTAATATATAGGCTGCTACACCATGTCATGGCTATATGACACTTGGAGAAAAATGAACTGTGGTTATCTGGAAATTAAAAAAAGGGACTGATTTAATATTCAGCTGTGGCTGAAGGGGCTGGGGGTAGGGAAAAAAGGCGGACGTATGGATGGGGGAGGGGGTGGAGGAGATGAAGACGGAGGAAATTAATCAGTGGTATCATCTCCATGGGAGTTTAGCTAACCACCGACCTCAGCGCTTTATCAGCCTATGAGGGAGCTTCTACTGTGGCTTCTGCCATAACAAACCAAACCCACCAAATCACTGTGCATGTGACTTCCACACAAAGACACACACTTGCACAGAAATCACACATCAGGCTTACAAGCTTTCACTTTCACTTTCAGACAAGACCTGTGTCATCAAAATTCCCACTGTGTCTGTGTAAACTCAAGCATAATTTCTGCTTGTATGTACAGTTGGTAATCTAAGTGCATACTCTCCATCCATATGTATATGGGCAGTATTTGTATTGTCTATTGCGTGTGTGCAGGGTGAAAAAAAAATCATGGTAACAATCTCAGTCTAATGTGTTGATGCATTTTATTTTGTCCTCGTATCAGGATAACTGTCATGTTTCACAATAGAGGATCTTTGTGTGAAGACACAAGCAAAGAAGTGGACAATGCCACAACTTTGTTGACAGTCTATGAGAGTAAATTAATATGTACCACTGACCGTGTTCCAGGCCGAGGCCAAAATGGTGTCTTTGAGGTGCGAGCTCACCGCCTTATTTGATGGAATGATGGAGAAGAAAGGGGTGAGGATAAACCAACTAACTGAAGAGCTGAATGCAGTGACTCAAAAGGTGAGATTGCAAGGACACACAAACACATGCTTCAGATGCTTTTGTTTAATGCTATGTGTTACAAATTCTGAAATGAATGTGTCCTGTTGTTAGACTTAAAAAAAAAAAGATTATTGCTGCATACCCATAGTACTATGTTTGCGAGTGTAGACTTATTGGGAGCAAACTCAGTATTTTTCTTTTCAGAGCTTTTTTTGTCACACATACAGATTAACACATGAATGTATAATATTGAGAATCTTTGGAGCAAATAAAAAATTGTACTGCATTGAGAGGCTTTGGCTTACTGGTTGACCCCTGGGATTCTGTTAGCTAATTTAACTATACTATGATAGCACTTCAATCAGTTTTCCACCCACTTATTTTGTACCATTTCAATTATACAGATTACCAATGCTGCTAGAGCTTATTGAGCTGTACTTTTGATTCAAAGGCACACCGGCCCACTGAGGAACAAGCGCTGACAGAAATACACACACAAACACACAAGCACACACCACTTGATCTGCATATCATTACGCTTTTGATCGAATGCCAAGGTTTCTCAGAGAAAGACATCAGAGTCAAACGGAGCGAGCATGTACACAACACCTGTAGGATTTGTGTGTGTGTGTGTGTGTGTGTGTGTGCGTGCCCGTGAGAGAGGCAGCTGTGAAATCTGCACCTGTTTAATTGAATTAGCCTCGTTAATGTATTCACACTGGCTGCCAAAAAAGCGTGGATTTAACAAGCTCGTTAGACCAATTAGTTAATTAATTGTCTGTACAGCAGCGGCTTCCCAAAGAGCTGCGTCTTCATTATCTGATGGCTGCCGCCTGTTGGATCATTGAATGAGAGCTGATAATGCATTACTGTCACACTGCACTCATGACTGTGCGTGTGTGCCTCCTCAAATGTCAGATATGTCTATATATATGTGTGTATGTATACTGTACGTAAGGTTCTTTTGGGTGCAAACTTGCACAGACACAGGTACGTGCATGAATGCATGTGTATGTCTTTGTCTGTCTGTGTGTGGTATACTCAGAATATGGCGGCCAATATCAGTGTGCATATTGCAGTGAAAGGTTATGTGGGGGCCGTCACTCCCACAGGTAAAGACAGAGCAGTCCTCCTAGCCACTTTCTAATCTCTCTTTTATTAGAAGTTAATATCTCGCCTGCTCTTTCTCACTCCACACTCCCACCTGCTTAGAAATGGCCCTGCTCCATCTTTTTAATTCAATTATATTAGCCACCCTCTCTCTCTCTCTCTCTCTCTCTCTCTCTCTCTCTCTCTCTCTCTCTCTCTCTCTCCCTCCCTCTCTCTCCCTGTGCCCATAACTCTGCAACTCACACCTCTCTCTCACACTCAATCGCTCTCTTTTTTTCTTTCTGTCTTCCCATCTCACCCCTCCTTTCTTTGTCCTCAAATGTTCCATTTCTATTTGTAATCCTAGATGGAGGATATACTTTGCTCAATCAAGGATTTACACAAGCCGCTCTACCTTTCTCCTCTCCTCCACCTTGGTGGCAGAAACTGATGGCAAGAACGAGAGACTAAAGGAAAGGAGGAGGAGAAGGAGAAGGAGGCGAGGGGCAGGAGTTAAGGGGAAGACCCCAGGGGTGAAACTTTAATTGCTAAAGTAATGAGACTTGATCAGATTGAGGTTTCTCTCTCAATAGGGACTCTACTAATATGAAGGTCCAAGGCTCAAACTCTAATTTGAAATAAAATCACAAATCTGATATTCTTTCGTCAGGACTTCCAGCCAAGGTCCTATACTCCCCCACTGGAGAATTAAGACTTTACACAGACCACATGGGAACCTTTAATCATCTCTGATGGTGACAGATTTGGAGATGAGAAAAATCACTGTAATGTATTAATTATGTAACAATATGATAGAGTTCTGAAAGTCAGTGCCATAAAGACCTTGGGGCTAGGAGGGATTTTCACAGACATTGTGGTCTTTAACTAGCTGCCTTATGGATAGATAACAGTGACCATACCATGGGTGGGTTTGTAGAAAATTCAACATACATTTTTGATTGTTTGAGTACAATACAGGGCTCATAAGAAATTAGAACCAATGATGTATGCACAAAAATACGGTTTTTGAGATACCTTATGTGCAGAGACCAGTAACTAACAGAGCTGCTTATTTTTAAATGTGTTTTTATATTACTTTTATTATCTGAACGTGCTAGATTACAATTGCAACAAGTTATAGATTAGAGATTATCACTATTTGATCTTAAAGAACCAACATACCAGTTCATCTGGAGATGGTCACAGCCCTAAATATTGCCCCCACTGGTGATACAACTCAAGACATTTAACTTTAACTCTGAAGAATTAGCAACCTCAATAGCTACCTTTCTGGGATAAAATTCTGAGCAGAAAAGTCCCCATATTACTAGTACTACAGCACAGCCATAGGGTATTGACACATAAACCTCAAAAGAATACTTCTCATATTCAAAGTTACAGACTAAATCACATGAAAAAATGAAAAATTGAATTGACAGAAGATACTTTTATTGCCCAAAATGAAACATTTCTTTATAGTGTGTTGTAGTAAATGTTAGTTGTTAAACATAAAGACTATAGTTGCCTTGCTGTCCTGTAGATATTTGTACTCACTGAGCTCAGAACTGGCAGTACCAATTAAACACATAGTACCAGTACCAGACTTAAACTTTTTTTTTAACTTTTGCAAATTTTCTGAATATATTTTATTGTTGGGGCTTTTATTGCCAGCTGAAGAGTGACAGAAAAGGGGGTAGAGAGAGAGGGAATGACACACAGGAAAGGGCCACAGGTCAGAGTCGAACCAATGACTGCTGCAGCAAGGACCCAGCCCCAGAAAATGGGGCACCAGGTGAGCTATCCAGGCGCCCCTTAAGCTTACTTTTTAAATGCACATGCTCAAGTATAGGCTTTGCACACATGTTAATACCTAATGATATGGATTGATGGTGGCAATTATAGAAATACTTTTATGTAATATTTGGATATATTACTATTACAGTGGCAGTACTTTAGGAGATACCAATGTTCTAACTTGGTTTAGCATTGATGGTAATAATATTTAAAATACGTAGAAAATGTTCTCTTTTGCTTCATAATCGTTTTTCATCTGAAATCCCTCTTGCACTCTAGATGGCTTAACGCAAAGAACTTTTGCCCACTTATGTAATATGTTGAACTTGGCTGAAGTGCTGAAATTCACACATTATTGTCTCAGTTTTGTAAAACTTACTTTATTTCCCAATAGTCACACTAAAAAAGGTGGAATATCCAGATAAAAGAGTAATTTTAATTCAGTGTCGCAATACTGGCTGCCCCATTGCTTATAATTGTTACCATCCATTAGCCGTGTTGTAGATGAGTTAACTGCATAAAAGACCACCTTTAGCTCACTGTTACAATAGGTTGGATGATATATATACTGGATAGTCTGGAGAGCTCTGTGAAGGAGGCAGAGGTTAGCTGTGTCAGTGCCAAGACATAAGTCCAGAACCACAGTCTGCTGTTAAAGGAGGTGACGAGAGAGCTTGAGACAGATCAGAAGTTAAGAAACGTCCTGCACTGTAGGTACCTACTATGTGTGTGTATTGCGGTCTTCATGTGGTCTTCATGTCTCACAGAACCTAAATCATCCAGTCTGATATGTAAGAGTGTGTAATGTGTATTTGTGTGTATATGTAAATGTGTGTGTTTGTACGTGTGTTGACTGTCTGCTCAGCCTCCTTACTAATCTAACACAGGGCTCATTTAACACAGTGCTAATGAATAGGGGCTTTGATTTGGCAAGGGGGTCTGAACCACAGGCCCACACACACTCACATCCATGCATGGGGTGAGGAGTTCAACCACTGTCTGCTTCCTTAGACATAATCAGTTTCTGTTTCCCAACAATTACTAAAGCACTAATTTATGTACATTCACACACAGCAACTGTTATTTTGTTTTAGTTTTCAAGTGTACATAGATCATGTTTATGCGTTTGATTGTGTCTTACTGAAAAACAATCGCGCTGCGTGTTATGAGTTACAATTTGCATTTTTGAGGTTGATGATCAGAATAATGGTCTGTCAGTTTTACGTTACTTATTCTTATAAAATAAGAATTTAATTGAAGAACAATGAATTATCTTTAGTACAACAATATTGTTGGACAGACTTCCCACAGTGGTAAGTTAGAACTGGTGCTCTAAAGATCTACAGCACACAAGAGACTATTACTCCTTGAAACAAGATATCTTCTTGTACTTATCCAGTGGTTTCTAATACAAATACAAGAAAACAAATATTTGTAGTAGGGATGCCCCAAACTAGAGATTTTCCTAGTGGACTAATAGTCATTAGTTAAAGCCATTAGTCAACCAATTGTTGCACGTTTTTGATATTAATTTAATTATTCAAATACATAATATCTATATTTTATCAGCTGCCTGTTAAATGCTAATGGCTAACGCGGTTATAATTCTGAATGTGTCGGAACAACCATCAAGGAGACTTTGTTCATTTATTTTAATCACAGTAAAACATCACACACATCTTGCTGATCAAAACACAGAATAAATAACTCACAGCTTCACAAAACTAAATACTTGTGGACTTATCAACACAATAGATGATGTATAACGTTAACAGTTACTTACAAATTAACAGCAATTATCTCAAAATGGCAGATAATCGGCCCAATTAATCAGCCGACCGATCGGTCTGTCACGACTTAAAAGGTACAAAAATGTGACAGTCATAAATATGTAAGCATAATGTGAAATATGTGAAAGAAACGATTAACTTTGACAAGAAAGCTAACATTCATCTGCCATATACTGACAATTATTTAGACTTGGTGGAAGTATCAGCTCTACATCTGAGACAGAAAACTAATAGTTTGCTAAAAGGCTGTATGGTACTTTTGTTTGCCCTTTTGGTGTTGAATAGACACAAGGCTAGTAAAACCTATAGGCTAGTAGTAGTATAGTTATATATCTGTACGTGTGTGTGTGTGTGTGTGTGTGTGTGTGTGTGTGTGTGTGTGTGTGTGTGTGTGTGTGTGTGTGTGTGTTTGTAGATGAAAGAGAGAGAAGAGCATGTGAGGCACCTGGACCAGGATGTGGTTGGTTTGCGAGCCACACAGGACTCTCTAAAGAGAACCTTGGCTATGAAGGAGGAACACACACAACAGCTGGTCCAAGACAACACGCAGCTCAAAGAAAGCTTGGCTTCACTGCAGAGCAAAGTAGGTAACACACACACACACACACACACACACACACACACACACACACACACACACACACACACACACACACACACACACACACACACACACACACACACACACACAAGCACACACACAGGAGGGGAGCTCTTCTTAAATAAGGAACAGAATTGGGCAACCTTCCCTAAATCAAATCCAGTCAGGTACATCAGGGAATTCTCCTCATTTTTTACTTCCTTCACAGTTAATCATCCGTCCTTCTTCCCCTCCTCCTCTGCATTCCCTCTCTCGCCCTCTCTCCATATTTAATAACTCATCGCCACCATCTTAGCTCCGCAGAGGGTTGGCTCATTGTACAATAAAAAACCATGTTCGTATGAATATCACTTAGCCAAAGGAGGGACCAGGAGTGGGGGAGGGGGTTAAATATTATTTTGTTTCCTTCTTTTGTCCATTCATTATTTTTCCTCACATCATTCTTTCTTTCTTTCTTGTCTTTCTTTCTCTCTCTCATCTCCCCAGTCCAGTCTCGCCCTCACCCCAATGAGAACCAATGCTAATGTATGGGAACATTAAAGAGTCATACGGATGATGAATGGAATGGCCTTTAGGTTTCTCTCTTTGTCCTTTTCCTTTCTTTCTTATAATTCTCTCTCTGTCTCACTCCCACTGTATTTCTGCCTCTCTCCTTCGTATCTTCCTCCTCTCACCCCTCTAGGTATATCAGAGTGGCGCGTGGCATTGATGTGTTTTAGACTTAAATTAACCCATTAAGTGTGTCCTTGACCAAACCAAGTCATTCATTACCAGTGTTTTAGTGGTGCGGGTGCCTGGCAGCCAACTAAACGAAGTGTATTCAACGTAAAAGCATGTTTTGTGTCACTTGACTTAAGAAACACTTGAAACACTTTCTTAGATGCTGACTTTATGCCCTTACTTTTCTAACGCTAACTTAATTCCCCATTTACCTTATTGGCATCATTGCATTGGTGTATTCTGGAGTTGGCAGCAGTGAAATGTCAATCATTTTAATAATTTCATCTTCAAGTGCTGGGGCTAACTTTCCATATTTACAGTGTCACAGGTTTGAGCCTGACTCTTTTTACTTTTTCTTTTACTCATCTAAAGGTTGTTTGTATCAGTGTCCAAATGAATTTGCCACTGTTACCAATATCCATTTGATACTGGTTTCTGTCAGCTATTCCAGGGGTATGCGTACATGTGATTGTCACCATTATTTCGGTGTACATACCTGTAGAGTCGTGCAGTAGCCTATCTAAACATCTAGAGTGAGGAAGTTGCATTATAGAAATGTGGTGTTTTCCAAGAACCTATGTTAATAAAAGCACATTATGTCTCTTGTCTGATCGGGTGCAGAAAAAGAAAAAAGGACCACAGCTCCTTCTGAGCCTTGTCCCAAGATTCAAGAAGCACTAGTCTACAGTTAGTGTTACCTACGACTTTATGATGTGTAGTCAAACAGTTTTATTGGTCCTGAGTCAAAGCGGTAACTGTAGGGTTCCGCAACCTGGTACAAAGCTTTTATGATGTTCCTTTTCACTGCTATGGAGACAGAGTGGAAGCAAACATCCCTAAATTATACTTTCATCTCTTTCTTCTCCTGCTTATATCGTGTTGGTTCGCCCATTTTCCTCCTCAGCTCTCTCCACAGCTGTCTGCATGCCTGCCTGTGACTGTCCCTCTCTCAGCTTTTAGAGAAGGTTCAAACCAGATGTACGCTGCTTATTTTTCTTCTCTCTCCCCCTTATTTCTATCTGTGCTCACCCCTCAGCTACAAACGAGCGAGTGCATGTTGAGTGACATCAGTGAATCCCTGGATCAGGCCAAAATCGCCCTGAATGCGGAAAGACAGCAGAGGCAGCAGATCCAGGACCAGTTGCACCATGCCAACAAAGAGATGGAGCGTCTGCGGCAGGAACTGACACATGTGCGTCACACCAGTGAAAAGAAGGTGATTGGTTTCTTCCTCAAGGTCTTCATTCCAATATTTAATGATATTAATTCTTTCAAAGCCTTGCTTGTCCGACTTTGCCATGTTATTGTAACACTTACACTGGGCAAGGGCATGTGACTTCCCTGTTGTTGGCCATGTATTGTTGACACTGATACATTATTAGCAAGTTCGCTTGCTCACAAGGTCAAGAAACATTTTCTACACAAAGTGGACAATGTCAGGAAAAAGATGGTTAAACTAAAAATGTGCAATTTCTACAGGATGGAGATGAAATATAATATTCAGTTTAATGTAATGCATTGTCTTTTCCCACAATGGGACTGATAAGAAGGGTCGCACAGGTGAGGGATTCATTTAAATATTCAATTTTCAAATGTAATATTCACTGTGACAGGCATTGTCTATTTCTACAATGGTGCTGATAATAAGGTTTTAGATAATGGGTAATGGGATGTTCTGATATTTAGAGCCTTATTAAAAACACACACTTTTGACAAAGACAAAAATGTTGATTATTCTGCTGAAATGGGAATTTTTTGCAGCTGGGACTACAGTAAAACTCACAAATCACATGTTCATATGCTATATTGCTTTTTAGACCTTTTAATCCGCTGCCCTTTCTGTGATATACCAGAGGCGTATGTTAGTGGTTTAGTGGTTTGTATTTAACCTTCAATTAACTAGGTTGGAAAGATACTTTTCACTGAGCCATTGGTGAATTTCAAGGGCTTGCTTTTGTAAAAAATGGAAGCAGCACACGAGGTTCAGTCCTTTTCACTGGCAAGCCTCTTCACTGACTATACTAATTTCAGAATGGTTTTAGGGTTAGGGTTAAGGTCAGGATTTTGTTGGCTATCACTGAGGCTATTGTTAGAGCAGTCTCTCAGTGTATAGAGTACACATTTAAAAGACTACATACTCTATAGCTCATATAATATGACAGCAAATGGGCTTTGGTAAAATAAATCATTTTAATTAAAAAAGTTAGGGTATTTTTGCCCTCTTGTAATTGAGTGAACATGAATTCAGTTGTCATCGTGCATAATGGAAGCAAAGATTTGCATCAGGATTTCACAAGTCTTGCGAGATAAGCCGCTATCGAACCCTGTACAACTGTCCAAGACTGGTCAAATGTTTGTTTGTGAAATTTCACTAGACTGTATGTGCTTATGTGTATATGTGTGTGTGAGTTTGTGTCTTTCATGTTTGGATTGGTTAAGTCAACGGAGGGACCATTACATTCTGTCCAGGGATCTGGTTTCTGCTCCACATCTGGCCCTGCTTTATGCACCAAGACTGTTCTTTCTCTGATCTATTACAAGCTCTCTCTCACACACACCCACACATTGACAGACACACACACACACACACACACACACACACACACACACACACACACACACACACACAAGCTTTGGATTCACTCATGCACACTTCAGTCCATCATTGTATGGACAGTGGTAGTAGTAGGTGTGTGTAAAAGAGAGTGAGTGTGCCTTCTCCCACTTGAATGTAAGTGAAACTGAGAGAACTTTGTGCTAAGTATTTTCCTCTGCAGTTCTAAATGTCCTAACATTAGCACAGCTGAACAAATACTGTCAACACCCTCTCCTTCATCTGAAATCTACTCTGCTGATTCACTCTCCCTCTTACTCTCTCCCCTTTCACTTAGACGTCTTTGCTCAGAAGAATAGGAAAGCAGTTTGGTTTTTCTGTGGAGAATGAATAGTTCACTCAGTTTTTTTTTTAAATCTAATTCTCTAAAACTGCTGGGAAGTAGACGGGGACATTGATGAGAGGAGAGGGAGCGCTTGTCTGACTAGAGTCCTGGGGGTTATAGAGGCCAACCACTTCGCCTTTTGATGTTTTCATCTTTGGACATAGGTTTACATTTTTTTATTTTTAATATTAATTCTATGATGGTCAGACATTTTTCTTATCAGTGGTAAACTGGTTCCTCCACACAGGCTCAGATAGGAAGGAAACCTGCATTTTACTTTGACAATGGTATATCCAAATTGTTAGCCTACATAGTTATATTATACTGTAATGTGTACTTTAGCTTTGTTGATAGGACAGTTGAAATAATTCCTAACCAAACAGATTTTTGTATTCTACGGTCCACTTATGATCAACTGTTGATTGCTTTTGTAGGACACAACAAAAGTAATGGGGAATTCACTAAATAAAAGCAGATGTTTGTGCTTTTTTGCAAAAAAATATCTTTTAAGCACAAAATCCTTCTTAATGTCTTTTTAATCCCTTATGCTTTATTTATCTGTATCCGTTTTTACTTGTTCTCCATCTCTCTCTCTCTCTCTCTCTCTCTCTCTCTCTCACACACACACACACACACACACACACACCATCATCATCATCATGCAAATGGCCAGATGTTGCTGTACTTTTAACATGTGGTTAAAGTGTTACAGTATACTCTCCCAAACTCCCCCATTGAGGAACTTGAAAGTAGTGAAACCATTAACATGACAAGGGGCTTTGTCTCAGAGATGACCTGCTTCATCTTCTCAGAACCAGGGGTCACGTGTGCAGTTCTCTGGAGGCTCCTCTTTTAAAGGTTCAGGTCATAGATGCACACAGGAGGGAGAAAAGGAGGGAGACAGTTGGGTGGATTTTGTATGAGAAACGTGGAAAAGGGAAAGAGGATTTTTAGGATGTGGGAAGGAAGGAAAGTTGAGATAAGGGGAGATATCTTGGGATCCAGTAGGTAGATGTGTCAGTTCACCACCATGAGATCTGTGACAGTTATAGCCAGAAAATTTGGCCATTGCATCTTAGTTGTCTTACAGTCTCTCCTACCGATAATCAATCAATCATATTTAAAATGCTTGACTCTGAATCAAACATTTTAGCTTACCAGTTGGGGCTGATCAATAACTCGGATTTGCATGGAGACCATTCAAAGCAAACAAAAAAAAAAAAAAATAGAGAGAAATGTAGAGTAGAGAAAAAAGAAAACTGAGGTATTGAGCATTTTTGTTCCATTTTGTTGTAGCAGGAAAAGCTTGTTGTGTTACCCATTTACAATTCTATGGGCTTTATAAGATGCAACATGAAAACTAAATCTGCAAATGTTTGTTCAATGTGTGATGCCCAATCATATTATCCATTGTTAACACATTCCAGCATAGTGTGTCTCCAGCTTCCCCACTGGGACTTGAGTGTAAAAAGTATGCACTCATAGCTCTTGCTATTGGGTAAAAGAATTCAAAATGCATATTATTTGAAATGGACAAGGAGGTCTGGGGGGAGCAAGACAGCAAACAAGAATGAAAGGAGACAGTGGAAGGTAAGCAGTACTGTGGAAGGTTGTTCAAGCCTTCAAGGTTGAACTTGGACAAACATTGGTCCTGCTCACAATGCTTTACAACCATCAGAATAGCTTACTGATTTTTTCTCTCTCCCTGCTTTCTCTCTTGATCTCGCTTATTGCTCATTTCTTTTTGTGCCTTGCCACTTCTCCCTTTCATCCCCCCGTCGCCACCCTCCAACCCCCCAACTGTTCAAATATTATTTCTCCCCCTCCTGTCGTCCTCTCCCCCCTTTTTTCTCCCTCTCTTTATCTTGTCATTGCCTGTCAGTAGGGATTCTATCTGCGCTGAGTGTTGTGTGAGCGCGTATCTGTGAACACATTGAGACTGAGATACACTTAAGAGCTCATTGATTTAAAAATACCTTCGATATTGGAGGTCCCCTCCTGCAGATTCGTTCAGAAGCTTATCACACACGCATAGACATCCACGTAGAGATATGCATAAACCAAAGCTCCACTCCAAAGTTTCTCCTTAAACTTTGTGATTGACCTAGTTAGTGTGTCGTTTTGACAAGTTGTCTGTTTTGACACGACATCCTCCGGTGTTTATCAACATCCATTCTGCCTATCACATGCTCACATTGGGAATTCACACACACACACACACACACACACACACACACACACACACACACAGACATACACGCTCAAAGATAAATCACGCTAAGATTTGGAAATTGGCAGAAAGTAAGTGTTGTGTTTGCTATGGGTAAGTGGATTGACTTGCATTTGTAACAACAATAAATTCTCTGGTCATTTTTTTTCTGGGTGTGTGTGTGTGTGTGATGTCCGCGGAATGCAAAACACAACCTGTATTATTCCTGTTCAGGGTATTTGTGTGAGCCTGTGAGTGTTTACATGAGCGTTCATTTGTTATTTAGCTGCTATGTGCATCGCAGTGTGTATGCAGTGTTGTTTTTTCTTTTTCTTTCTTTTCCCCCTTCCTCTTGCCATAGCTCAGGTTTAGTGTGTTTAGCGAGCCTGGCCGCTGACAGCCAGAGGTGAGAGGTCAAAGAGCCAAGTTAACTCCATCAATTCCCCTGGACAGTTACAAACGAGCTCTCAACTCTGGTCAAAACAATCCCTGGATCATGCAGGACGGACAGGAAGGTGGGGAGTGATGGAGAGAGAAAAGGGAGTGAGCATTTGACTCAGCTTGGCATGAAGGACTGTTATGTGTGTGCATAAATCAAAAGTCGAAACTATGTCTGCATTAAATGCGTATACCAGTAATAAATGTGAGGTGTAAATAATTTTTTTGCATTGTGGATTAAGACAAGGCTGTGGTCTTATCCCTAGGTCATTATAAAGCAACTTACTACTTTACTACCTAAAACAGTCAAGTGCCCTGGTTCCTCTTTTTTGAAGGTTATCTGGTTCTCCTTTGAACCCCAAAAAGCTTGAATGAAAGCTTGAGCATCTTAAAAAAATTTAGTTTAGACAAAAGTGCTTACAAGAAGATCAGACAACATGAGAAACCTATTTATCTCAGAATTGACAGCACATAATGGCACATACCTGGCTGTTTTGACTGACCTCAGAGAAAAGCCTTGACAAGGCACAGACTCTGAACACAAACAGAAAATATGAAAAAAAAGTCAAAAACATTTCCCCAGCAAACTTGTGAGGAATTACACCCACATGAAGGCACGTGCAGACACACACACACACACACACACACACACACACACACACACACATTTGGCAAAGAACTGAAGTGGGTAATTAGGGAAGGTCACCAAGGAAACAGACAAACACAAGCAATTGTCAGACAAACTGTATACTCACGAGAAGCACAAACAACTGTTTCTCTTTATGCACCGTCATCCACCCACTACCAGCACCACCACCACCGCTGCCTTGAACACAACTATGAAAACAAAACTTGGATACTTTATCTCAAGTTTTGTAAACAGCAACCTATGTTCTCCTGTTTCCTGAGATACAGTGTGGTACCAACGATTCAAAGAGATACGATCCATAACATAATGTTACTTCAAAATATCATTAACCGTGTTTTCGTCCAACATCCTTAAAGCATGAAAAATATGTTTTTGTTTTCCAGATCCAGAAGAGGGAGATTAAGATGTGCGTGATGATGAAAGAGCTCACAGAGAGTAAGAAGCAGCACTCTGAATGTCAGAACGAGGTAAAAACCACAGCAGCTTCATCAGTTCAGTTTAGTTTAGCTTATTTGAACATACTGTATATATAAAAATACAATAAGAAGGGACATTTTTTTTTCGAACATTGTTCAGGGGAGATTGGAAATAAAAAGTGGCTTATGAAGATACCTCCCCAATATAAATATCAATAGTCATACTTAAAAAAACAAAACAAAGATTGCATAATTCTTCATAGCTTCAAGACTAAACAGTAATTTATACATTACATAGATGTTTATGTTTGAGATGTATTAATATATATTATTATTATAGGTTTTATAAATATTTGCTAATAAGAGTCCTTCTCAAATGTTTTTTTGAATAATTTCTCTAAAGAGATGATTCTGTGTATTTCAGTGAATATTGATTAAGGGAAGTCTGACACTATGGAAGATAAAATACCTATGTCTTGTGGAATATGAGTCTGAGAAAGACTTAAAAGAATTCTGGAAAACCCTAGGTCATGAGTGTAAATATTTATACAATTTATACATGAATACAGTCTGGTATATGTTAATTAATATAAAAATACATTCAAAAAATACATAACAAAATTGATAGACGTTTGAGTTTTCTGAACAGGGAAGCAAATGAGTTTAATAAATGTGATGGAATTGCCTGGTTTGAACACGGTATGACTTTAACTACTTCAAGGTCTCTTGAGGGATACAGTTAAAACATGGGTGAGGGGGCTCAACAATAGAGAAAGCTACTTTCTTTACAAGACTAGATCTCATTTCTTCATGTCTTGCAGAGGAGTCTTTATTTTCCAGTACAGTGTCATACAGGGTTAAACTGGTCATTCATATTCACAAAGAGTGATTCATCTCTTGTGTTTTCTATATTTTTTGCCTAAGAAAGACCAACATTTACAAAAAAAAGACATTATTCTCCAAATTGGTTTTGTTAATGCTCATGATCCATATTAACTTTAACTGTGTTAGAATATTTATTGTAAATCAAATAAATAAAGTTACTGTGAATGAAGTTACATTAATTTGATGATGGAAATTATCACTCAATTTAATTATACTTTCCATGTATTATACATTAGTTAATGGTAAGTTGTGATCCTAGAATTAATCTCATGTTGCTTTTGTATTTTTAGGGTGTTATTTAAAGTTAAATGTTTTCATTGTCCAAATGTGGGTGTCGTGAAGTACTCCAAGAAGAGAAGAGACTCACCAATTAAGTAACTTCATTTAATTGCATATTTCCCAGTTGCTCCGAAGAGAGAAAGCTTCTGAGAAACTGTACGAGGAGAGGGATGAACTGATAGCCAAGATGGAGGACCGGGGCAGAGAGTGTGTCCACCTCAACCAGACCAAAGACAGACTGGAGGCGGATTTGGCTCTGAGCCATGAGAAACTCCACACCTCACACCTGGAGGTCCATGTCTGTCTGTCTCTGTGTACATGTGTTGATGTGTTTGTGTGCCCTTGCATGCATAGGTCAGAGCCGCAGAGCTTATGTTGTTTACCAAATATTTAACTACAGGAACATAATGGGCTAAATATGACATTTATTGGATTTTACTTACTTACTTACTTACTTACTTACTTACTTACTAATTGAAGTGTATTTTCTGTGTGTTTAGGTTCGAAGCAGAGATCAGTTAATTCTGCAGTTGAGAGCTGAAATGAAAACAGCTGAACAAAAGCATCAAAGGACACAGGGACAGGTATGGTTGCTTGTTTGTGTCTGTTTGCTGATAATTTATGTATCATGTCCTTATCAGTATATTTCTTATGATCTGTTTTCTGATTACCTGTGTGTGATTTGGGTGTATTTCCAGGTTACAATATTGCAAATAGTAGTAAAATTTCTAAAATATCATACTTGTTGCTTTTAATATTGCAAAATTTGCGTCTCCCTGCTGTGTTCCACGAGAAATAGTTTGGGTTTTTCAGATTTGTTTCTGTTTTTTGGGTTTTAAATTTGTCTCAGGGCTTAAATTCACTTCTAGGTAGTACAACAACCTGTCTTGCTATTTTTTGGTATTTCCTTTCATATGCTGAGGCTAGGTTGAGTGAGCACCCTGAGTGTTTTTTTTTCTCCAACAATGACCTGTTTTACACCCACAGAGTTGCACACATCCACTCGAGGGAAGTGCCCAAACCAGCAGCAGTCTTCTACTGTTGGCTACTGAGCAGCTCCATTAGAGCAGTGGGAGGCATAGCACCTTGCTCAAAGGCTCCTCGAAAGTTGGAGCTAAGGAAAAGGGGAATCGTTACTCATTCATGTCTACTGTGCCCACATTTTCCCAACTGGTCTTGAAACTAAACTGGGAAACTCTCTGACTCAAGCCTCATTCCCTCACTTTTAGGCTACTGCCGCCCCCTCGCTGTCTTTTCGGTTCGTCTGTGTGTGCTTTGTATTCTTACATAGAGTTATTCCATTTCCATCCATTTCAGTTTTCCTCTCATTTTCTTTCTTCTTGCTCAGGTGGCAGCGCTGGAGGGTGAGTTAAGCCACTTGAAACCCAAGGTCAGAGGACACCAGGAAGAGGCCTGTCAGTTAAGAGAAAAGGTCAGAGGTATTGAGCGCCTTAAAGACCAGAAGGAGAAAGAACAACAGCAGCTACACGATCAGCTCCGTATTAGTCAGCAACAGGTAAGGAAGATATTGTGTCTTCTCCTCTTCACCTGTGCTCATCTCCACCTCCCCTACAGGTGAAATCTCTGGTGAAATCTATAGATCAGTTGAACTCTGACCCAGAAGCTGTGAAACCGAATTGACGCGGAACGCTGGAGCTGGAGGAGAGTCCTGCTTCACAGCCGATTGAAGCAGAACAATTCTGAGCTCAGCCAAATACAGAGCAGACTGAAGGATGGAAAGTCAGAGGTCACGAAACTCAAGGACAGTTTAAGTCAGCAGCACAGAGCCTTAGAGAAAGTCTTTTGTGAGTTCAGTTGTCGATCAGCTGAGCCGTGATTCTACAGCAAGACAATCTGTGGTGTTAATCCAGTAGACAGCATAAAAGAAAAATCCAAATGCGTTTATCCATCTGAGTGCGAGTGATCTAAATCACAGTAGACAATCAAGCAGTCAGACTGTTCTGCCAGGAACAACAAACTCACCCATTTGAAGCAGACAAGCTTTACTCTACAGTCAACTTACATATATTCCCATCTACATCATCTGAATTAACAAACAAGACAAGATGACCCCTCTGTTTGTCAACCTCTCACATCCAATTGGATCCAAACATGAATACAAAAAGAGGGAAAGAAAGACCAAGAGATAAAAAAAAAGAAAAGAATAGGAGAATGAAGTTATTATTAACTGAGGGTCAACTTGGGTAGTCATGTGACAGCCATGAATACTCAAATGGCAGGCCAAATGAGGGTCAAAGGGATGTGTTTTCCATCATATTTAATGAGAGCTGTTTGTTTCCCCAAAGCACAAGCTCCTGATTATGGTCACAAGAAAGCCATGGTGTTCCCATTAAGCCTTGTTATAAGGCCTTTCATCCAGCGACAGAAAGAAATGCTAAATCCACCATTAGTGTTTGGACTGTAGGGAAGTGAATATATTAAAGGGAAAGAAATACTATGACAGAGAGCAAGTAACATAATATAAGAGGTCAAGTTGGCATATGACACCTTACTTTATATTGTTTGTGTATGTTTCATAGCGTGACTTCAAAACCGTTACCTGGGGCTGAGTCAATGGTTTTAAACAGTCCACACACACACACACACACACACACACACACACACACACATACACCTACACAGGTTGTTCCGTTTTTGACTCTAAAGCAGAGAATAAAAGTTGACGGTGCTCCTCCATCCTCTCCTCTCTTCTGGTTTGTGTCTCTTTCTTCCTTTACATGAGCAAGTTTTCTATTCAGTCATGCTGCCTCCTACCCGGTGTTAGTCCTAGATGGGCCCAGCTAATCCCTGGTTAAACCAAGCTGCGGTGAACTACTGAAATCTAACTAGTTGGCTGTCATTAGTTGTAAACCCTCATGTTCTGATCCAGATTACAGCGGGATTAACGTGGATGAACTCAAGATGAGTGTTAGAGCGGGTTTAACTTTCTCAACCTCTCTGCTTGAAAGGTGAGCTACGGTAGGATTCCTTGTGTAACACCGGGATTAAGCTTGGTTTCACTTCCTGGGTTCCCCTTTCATTATGAGTGAGGTTACTGTAGAGCAGCACAGTGTATTACACCATTACACCAAACTAGCATATGTCTATTTTTCTATTTATTTCAATAACAATAAGTCATGATGAAGCATCATATCCAGAATCCTGTTTCTCTGTTTGATTCTGTTGCATTATTATACTGATATTGATGGTTATTGCTGTAATAGTTACTACTAAGTTTATTCTTTATGTGTGGAGCTTCCTACTACTTTATTCATTAGCTACTCGCAATTCAGTCACTTTCACACTTGGCAGCTGTTTCTCAGGAGCACCTCCATATGAGTCCAAATGCTACTCTCTTTTAAAAACAGTGTTTTGGTCACTCTACCAAACCTTCAGGCCTCAGCTGTTCCACTTAAGTAAAGAGCAAAGGTTTATTCTAATCAACATTTGTGCTTCATTTAACTATGTCTACTTTACAGGTCGAGACATTTGAAGGGAAGCTAAAGGAGCAGGAGGTTGAGATGGGACTTCTTCATCAGCAGCTTAAAGGAGCCAAGGAGGAGCTGAAAGATGCCCAGGGGCAGAAAGAAACTGCAGCCATCTTTAAACAAAAGTACACAGCAGCAATAGAGAAGGTGCATAGGGTGCAAGAGCATGTGGAACTTTTGGATGAGGAGCTACAGTATTCACAGCAACAGGTAGATCATAGTTTACAGTATATTATCATATCATGCTTGCTCAGAGATTTCATCAGCTCTTTACTTATTCAACATTTTCTGTGTAACATGTCTTCAGTCCTGGGAGTGAAACCATAGTACAAATTCTGACATTGCCTTATTCACCGTGTTTAATTGGCAGCTAAGAGAGTCCCAATCAGCAACTCAGTCGGTGAAGGAAGAGCTAGCTGAGATGGTGAAGCGGTACCAGGAAAAGGTTGGCCAATGGGAGAATGCACAGGAGGCTCTTGACCAGTTGACAGATGAGCTCCAGGCCAATCAGAATCTGCTGAAGGAGAGTCAGCAAAAAGTGGACCTTCTCAAAGGTCTTATAGGATCACTGCAGGAACAGGTGGACACACTCAAACAGCAGGTCAGGACAAACATGTTCACATTATATACACTAGCGTATGTAGACCCAACAATAACAGGCATAAATCCAGACACAAATACACATTCAGCACTCAGATTATTCTTTATTCCGCTGTGGAGATCCTGATTTGTATGTATCAGTAATTACCATTACCACTAGATATATTTTGTCTTTTTTTTTTTTTTTAAACAGGAAACTTTCATTGTACAGGCTAATTCCTTATAAAATGTTCATGTAACAATCGGTGAGGCTGCTTGGGAGATAATTAGTTGAAACATCAGGGTTCAGTCTTGCTTTTAAAAATAAGAAGCAAACATTGTTTCATGTTTCATAGTGCTTGTATATAATTTATGTGAACTCACCGGAGTTCTCAACAAAAAGATTTGGATTACATGCATCAGTGTGTAGGTTAAGTCAAATGGGTGTCTCTGTGTTCTTGCGTGTGCTCCCAGGTGTTCGCTTGCTCCATTGATGTTGTGTAAGTGCTTGCAAGGGTATATTCCTTTGTGTGCACGTGTTATTGTACACACGTGTATGTGTGTGTACAAGTGTGCGTTTGTGCATGTGTGCACTGGCGTGTGTCACTTAATCTTTTCTCCTTTTTCTTTCTGTTTTATATTTACTACGTCAGGCAACAAATGAATCATCTTTATTACGGAGAAATTTAATTTGGATGAACTTAACTGCTGCCGCCAAGGTCAGACGGGCAGAATGTCATTTTAATCCAATCAACTTTAATCTGTTGGTTATAAAAGAGTTAGGCTGTTGAAGAATGGCTGTATCTCAGGCCCTTTATTACACTGGCTAATGACTTTGATTGTGAGGCGCCTATCAAGAGGTTAGGAGTTCTTATGGAGCTTCACGTCCTGCTAATTCTCTACCTCATGCCACTGTTGGGCTCAGCTAACCCGAAAAGCACTATTGTCCTCATTCCCTGTTTACAAGAAAGTTTAAATTGTAAAATAAAAATAATAATAGTGAAATTGAAAACTAGAATATAAAATCAATGTAAAAGTTATAGCATAAGAAAAACAAGTGGAAATGTACTCAGTATCTTGAGTATCAAATCTTAATGCTATCTCTATTCTAGTCCATTTGTATTCTGACTAGGGAATATTTCACTGTAAAGTAAAGATGAATACAAGAAGACATGTACAATTTCTCTCCTTTCCTACAAAGATGTCTTTTTTTGAATTAGTTACATAATTTGCCTATATAAAGGATAGCAGATAATAGATTGAGGGTAGTGACGCATTAGCAATACATGTAGAAAATACAATGAGCTATATGGTCTTTTAATTGTGACAGAAATGCTAAGATCTGAAAGGTACTATAGGCTATTGTAGTTTCTGACTGTAGATTTACTTGTTAATGTAATGTTGAATGTGTGTTGGCTGTGTGACAGCTGTGCTTGGAACATCAAGGCCAAATGTCTCTGTGCTCTGCGATGCAACAAATCAATTCACAAATGAGTGTAATGCATAATGATGTGTTTCCTTAATGGCACATCAGTGTCATTGTCATTTATTAGTTAACCAAAATGCATCTAATCTGTTGAAATACAATTAATTTAAAATGCATCCTTCTGTGGCTTTGCTTTTTTAAGTCATTTTTGTTTCTGTTTTAGATCAGTTGTTTGCATTTTGGTGGTTACATTTTCAGTGTATGATTGACTGAAATCAGCAAAAACAAGAAATATGATCTGTTTTTCTTGTCTCACTCTCCTTATTACACCTGTTCTCTTTACTCGTAGAAACTGATGTTGGAGTGTGACCTACAGCTGTATCAGCAGAGTCATTCTCATTCTGACGAGGAGTATCTCAGCCTGTTGAGACACAGACAGCAGCTGCAGAAGGTAAGGTCACTGATAGTACTACACATTAAGGTTTCACCGTACGGATTACACACTGTGCATATTATCATCACAGTAAATCATTAGGATATACCCGATAGAGTACTTATAGTTACATTCACAGTCAACAATTGAGAGGTTAAATTTGTTTATATAAAAAAATAACATACTGTAGATGCATTTGAATACAGAGTTAAGCGTGGTTAGTTTTAGATGTACATTGATAAAAAATGAAGCTACATTCAAGCGCCCACTTTTTTTTTCCGTGTGTGTATCTGCATGTGTGTGTGTTTCAGCGCTGTACCGAGCAGGTTGAGGGCCTTGCGGAGTGTGAAAAGGCTATTCTTCAGATGAAGTCAGAGCTGCAGAGACAGTAATAACTGAGTCTATAAAACTCTCATTCTCCTCTGCTGATCCTGGTTCCTGTCCTTGTCTCTTCTCTCATGCCCTTCCTATCTTCCTCCACCCCCTACTCACTGTCATTCTCTTAACAGTCTCCTTACCAAACGCCACACAGTACCACACTATATGTAACATGGAAAATTTTACATAATCTATTCAAATCATTTCTTTGAATTTAGGTAATCTGGTTTATTTAGTTCTTGTTGTACACATGTTTTTCTTTGTCCGTCTCACCGTGTTGTTTCTCTTTGCTCTCCTCCCTGTAGAACCCAGGAAAAAGTGGGTCTGAAGCAAAGTCTTGTTGCGTCTCGCCGTACGCACATCAGCAATCGCAGCCAGCTGGAACAGGAAGTGCTATGTTTGAAAAAGGAAGTTACACGTTTAGAGCTTGAGCTGTCAGACACCCAAAAGGTATTAAAATAGAGTGTATCTGCTGACCCGTCCTCTAATTTAGAAACAACCATATTATACTGACCTTTTTCCCTTTCACTCTTTTGAATTCAGAAGCCCCATCTCTTGTCCCAAAATGTTGCCTATATGCATGCGTCTCAGGCTAAGAACATGAGCTCCACGAGATTCAATTCAAGTTCCCAAAGAGGAGTACTCAACCCACCTCCACCGGCACCACACACCCACCACTCGTGATTGCCCCGTGATTGCGTGGCAGAAACAAATTGCCTCGCCAATAATTAAAGCACCAAACGTGCCAAGGCTGGTGAAATTGACTCCAATTAAGAGCTCAATGGGACACTAAATATTCAAATTACTCAAAGTGGTGACTGTAGCCTGGCAGAGTGCCAACATTGCTGGCAGTCATAGACACATAGTGTGTGTGCGCGTGTGTGTGTGTGTATGTGTGTGGTCTTGTATGCTTAGGTGGAAACATTTGGTTTTACACATTAATTTGTGCGTCCTCTGGCACATACAAGTGATAGACATGTCATGCTTACCAAGATCATACGCATGCACACACATTTTATTCTCGCAAACACACACACACACACACACACACACACATTTGAAGCCGTCCATTGCCTTTGTTTCTCTAGCTCTACGGCCAAGGCAAATATGTATTCTTTTTTTTTTTTCTTTAAGTTTCAGTCAAGGTTTCCCATGGATAAAAGCAAATGTAAGCAGGAATACAAAACCACATAAGTGGTCAATCAATACAGAGTTTAGGGTCCTTCTGAGAAGTATGAAGTGAATTCCAAACACAGTCAAGCAAGATCCTTGATCTGAACACCCCTCACTTATGCTGCAGGTACATGTGGCACTTCTGAGACAGTCAGAGGGGGAGCTGAAGGAGGCCAGACGAGAGGCGGCGAGAAGGAGCAACGAGGTGGGTGTGCAGAGAGGAGAGGTGCAAAGACTTCAGGAAGAGTTACAAAAGTGGGAGGAGGAGATGAGGAGTGCCATCAGAGAGAAACAGAGTCTCAGCAGTCACATCAGGCGGTTGAACCAAGAGCTGGAGGAGCTACGCAGCAAGCACAAAGTGACAGGTAGCAATCAGTCAATAAATCCATCAGTTATCCATTTCATCCATCCATCTGTCCATTTATCCATCAAATAACTTTTAAGTCAAAGATATACAGATAAATACAGTGTATACAGTATACCTACAGTTTTTTATTCACTTGCTAAGTCATTTATTTTGAAATTTGACTGATGGCCAGTATGTCTTTAACACCTGCACAGTTGAGCAAGTGATGCACAAGCAAGTTAACATGAGGTTGTTGTTCTTTTTTTTTTTTTTTTTAGAAGAATTAAGCTTTTATCTCACTTCACTGTTTGATTACCTCACTTTTCTTGTTTGAACTTTGGGGCAATGTTGTCCATCAGAAGCATATAGCATGGTGGAGGAGCTCTACAGTCTGTTCTGCCTTTTGTTTGCAGAACCAGCCACACTGCTGTTAGCTCAATCAGTTAGCTCAAATTAGCCAGTAGTGTGGTGATTCAGTTGCTGGCTGTCTGCACGCAATGTTAACTCAGACACACACACACACACACACACACACACACACACACACACACACACACACAACAGAAACCGTAGATAGAGGTTTGATTTAATGGCGCGCTGCTTTAGCTGTATGGTAATGATCTGGTTTATGTATGTGTGTGTGCATGCGTGTGTGCGCGTGCCTGGTGGTGGCCTTTGTAGTAGTGTGTCAGTGCAGGAATGGTGATGGCTGGGTCTCTCTGGGCACAGAAATGTCTCATTAAGAATTAACGTACACATCTACGGTCACGCCAGGCAAACACCTCGCATACACACACGCATGCAGCCATTTCTCCCAACTCCCACTGCTTTAATTAGCGCATACACACTTGCTCTCCGAGGTACAAATACACACACACACTCACCTATTGTCCGCAGAGAGATGAATCTGAGGTCTCTCTCTGTGGCAGACAGTGGCTGGCTTGCTCGGTGAACACTGCTCATTAACAAGATAGAGACAGAGGGACAACGCTGTGTAGCTTGGCCTTTGTCTGTGATCAAAACGCATTCTCTCAACTCTACGCTCTGCACAAAACCACATATTATTCAGCTTTTACCTTCAGCAAATACAATCCAGCAACATAGAGCTTATTGTAATGACTTAAGAAGAATAAAGATGCATTATTTTAACAAAGGGGGCATTGTTTACCTGGATATAGCAGTGGCCTGAATAGACTGGGTGAGGAGTTAGCTTGATAAAATTACTGTCATGAACAAAAGGCCTTTTTATTAACATAAAGCCCTTGCTGAGGTTCCTTCTGTATAATGAAAACATTGCCTTGAGTGGTGATGATTCTTTTTGTTGTTTGATAACGGTAGATTTGGACTAGGATGGAGTGGATTGTGAAAATGAACAGGTTAGAAGGTTAGAATGCAGATGGTTGTAATACAAATAGGTATACAGTAAAATAATGAGAAAAAAACAGGACTATACCAAAGTAAGTTTTAATCAAAACCACATATTTTTAGGCGTTTACTTTATTTTATAACTGTATGTACTGTTATAATGGGTATCCAGTTTTTTTTATCTATCTTGTCTTGGCAGTCGGTTGCTAATGTTTGAAATATTATGGCACTGACATTTTTTATGCTCTCTATCAGAGCATTTTTAGTTGTGAAGTTGTTGGGTGATGTGAGACTGGTAACATGTTATCTGAATCCCACAGTTAACTGGATGTATATAAAACTGTAGCTGGGAGGTGATGGATATAATATTAAAAGGTCTCTGCGGCCAGATAGATAGAGGAGGAAAGGAACAGAGGATAGGATGATGCCAGACAACCAGAGAAGTGTCATATGGATGAGACTGAAGAGTCTGTAGGCAGCTGGATTCAATCAGATTGTGGCAGGAGAGGATGAAGAGACGGGAGAGAAGGGAGGTGATTAAAAAGGAGAGAAAAAGTCCTTAAAGTTGGCTTATGACTGTATGTGTCAAATTTACTGTCACTCTTTAGCAGCGTGCGTTTTCTGTATGATTCTCAGTTCAGTAGATATTCTGTTATTTGCATAATAGTGAATCCAGAGAGTAAATCACACAACACCTAATAAACTACATGTGGTGCTAAGAGAATGCCAGTGTGTGTACAGTACATATACTGATGTAGACGATGTACAGTATATCTGGTTATTTTAAACTGAATTGAAAACTGATTTGTGGCATGATTTTTTAAATCTTAGACACTTACTGTTGTAGTGTGTGTTAGTTAGTGAGTGAGTTTATATGTTTGTACTAGACACTGTTTTTTGAAATAACATTTCAAGTACAGACAACAAACAGAGAGGTGTAAATAAGTCAACACTGTTACTAATCAGTTTCACAGGTAACTCTGTGTGGTATATTCTAAACGGCTGGTTAATTGTTTTGGCAAGAATGTTTTTACCACCTGCCTGTGAAATTCAAGCAGGGATGGATGTTTAAAAAATTCAAATGTGGCTGATTGTGTCATCTTACATCTTAAATAAGATGTGTTGTAAGGTTGGCCGTAATGTGAAATAAATGTGATGCTGTGTGACAACAAATGAAATAACAGCATAAACAAAAACACAATATCCATATTTCCACACTTCCACAAAAACAGAAATGTGATATTACCTCCCCTCTGTGCTGCTGATGTGCATCTGCCTAAAGATGATGAAATCATTATTGTGTGTGCGTGTGTGTGTGTGTGTGTGTGTGTGTGTGTGTGTGTGTTGCTATTCAATCTGGATCCCTGGACGCACACGTGCACAGGCCTCTCTCCTCCAATTCACCTCTATTACTAGCTATAATCCCATTTCACACTCTATCGATCCCCAAAACTGTTGTTCACCGGAACCAGCAGCAAACACTGGCATTTCTCCCCATCATTTCACCACCATTGTTCTTTATTACACAAAGAAGCCCCCCTTTGTCTCAGAGCAAACTCAGCCCTGCTGAAATATGAATTATAAATGTATGGCTAATAAAAGAGAAGGGGGGAAAGAGAGAGACAGAAGGGGAGAGAGATAGAGATAGAGAGAAGTGGTTGGTAGAAACATCAGAGAAAATGACTCCTTTACAAGAGTCTATTGATCAGTTTCTATCAAAGGGGGATGTCAGACATGAGATTACCTGGCAGTTTGAGCATTAGGTGCCGTGTGTTATAGCCCCGGGCCCTTGTACCGCTGCCAGAGGATTGTAAATAAAGCGGAGAGGAGAGAGCAAGAGGGGAGTGTGTTGGGGTGTATGTGTGTGCATGAGTTTTAGATTCTACGTGTGTGTGTGTGTGTTAGTCTTTGTCTTTGTGAGTGTTCGCTGTTGTGTGCATACGTTTTTTTTTTTTTTTTCTTGTGGTGTATTTGTGTGCATGACGGTGTGCGGCTGTGCGCCTGCACCTTTTGGCTTATACCCAAAAGCAGTGTTGCAAGCCCATGAAACTTCAGAAAGAGAGAGAAAGAGTCTTGGGAGGCTTTGGGACGTCTCACGGGAGCACCTTAGCCCGCTACGAATCCCCCAACAAAGCCAAAGGAAGCCCCTATGAAGCCTTATGAAGCTTTTATGAGGGCCAGGCAGGGCCCAGCTCTACCCCCAGCCACTGATTCAGGGTTAGCCAGGTTTTCGTCCTTCTCATGTTAAAGGTTAGCTGTGAGAGCGGGGTAATCTGACCGCACATCTGTGATTATAGGCCGATGCTGTATGATGGGCTTTGAAGCTCATATGAAGGCATTGAAAGGGAGTGATCGAAAGAGAGAGTTAGATTATAGACTAATGTCATACCTTAAGTTGTGAAGCCATTATAAAAGGGTCAAGAAAGTCAGAGAGTGAGAGACCCAAGATCTTAGATCGCGCACTAATATCATAACTTAACTCACGAAGCCACTAAAAACAGGCTGTAAAAGACCCCAGACCTCAGAATATGGACTACTGTTCAACCTTAAGCTGTTAAGAAGAATTGAATGTGGAGAAATCCACAGTCCTCTGCGGATCCTCGTTTAATGTGGAACATTTTGGCAGTATTTGGTCATCAATCCCTGCTAAGCTGAATATACCACACATCTTATGTATTTGTCTGAAGTAAACACCTGGTGTGTGACTGCATGTGTGCTGCTGTTTGCTTTCTACTTGCTGTTTTATATTTCTAGAAATTTTAAGCGACAGAGAAAACTGTCTTAATTTTGTGTTTCAGCTATGTGTGTGTATACCTTTGCCTGTGTGTGTTCTGGTGCAAATAGGAGTGTTTGTGTAAACGGTCAGTATATGTAGCTAATTGCTCTCTCTGTGGCTTCCCCTGGTGGGAAGTGTCACTGAGGTCACCTCAAAACTAATGACTTGAATGCGAATTTGATCCCCATCTCAAGTTTTCGCATCTCTGCTTTATTGATTATTGAGATTCATAGCAAACTTTAACCTTGAGGTTCAGTAAAATAGCCAAGGTAGGGCACACACACACGCATGCAAATAAAAGTGTTTGTGCATCGTTAAATATTTAGCAATTCCAGTTGCCGCTTCAATTTTCCTAGGGCTTCAGTTTAAACATTTTGGATGCTGCAACACCATAAATTAATCATAGTTTTATTAAATGTAGATTTTCTTTTCTCTATTTCTTCCTTTCTGGTATTGGTTTTAGCTTCCCCCTATTCAGTCTGTCCCACCACGACCAACACAGCCTGGTGCGTGGCCCTAAAAGCATTACAGCAATACGCATGCAACATTTCTCTATTTCTATTTCACACACTCAAATACACATGCACGCGCACAATGTCAAGGTCCGTCCTGTAAATATTCAACACACACACATACTCAGGAGCGCATACACACCTCTACATATTCAGTGCACACACCTTCTCAATATTCACTAGCCTTGGCCACCGATGGCTGACAGTTTATGTTATATTCAATGAATACTGAATTTAGTGAAAAGGTTTAGGAGCTATGAAGAAACATTGACTCACAAAACAGCATTCAGAACAAAAAAAGAGGGGGGTGGAAGGAAGCAAATCCTAAATTTTAAATTCAAACTAAAAAGGGCCTGCGAAAGCAAACCTAACCAAGGAACCTGACTAGTGGTTTATTATGCATCCACTCAATGTACTAAACTACTAAGTGTAGGACAATGGGGTTTTATTGCATGGAGACGGAGGAGACGGCTGAAAAGGGAATGTGATTGAAGGGATGCAGTCAGGAGTATGAGCTCAAGTGGCCTGCTTAAGGTAAAGAGTGCCATCTATTGATGAAGTCGGGCAGTGCTTCTTTTGTCTCTCAACAAAAGGGCTGCTGCCCCGACTCAGTGTAAGCAGTGCAATACTTTCATTCCTTCCTTCTCTGCCTCTGAAAGGCATCCAGTGCCTCTTCTGTGGCGGAGTTCGTCGTTTGGCTTTGAAGGTGGCTCGCAGTTCATGTTTTCCCACTCATGCTGAACTTGAGTCACCTCTGTGTATGCATGTTTTGTAAATCATTCTATTAACCTTGGTCCGCTGGAAGATGTGAAGTATTTGAGAAGTGAAGCATTGTGTTAATCTTTACTCATGCCATCTATTTCTTTCTTTAAATATGTTGAAAAACAAAATCAACTCAGCCGCAAGAACTATCTGACACCATTTTATTAATATCGCAACTGGAAAATGTCTTTTTTTCCCCATGTCAGTTGAATTAGACCTACTCACTAATGAATCTTGAACAACAGAAGTCTGAAGTGAAATGCTGCTCTTTATCTCACACTTTTTTTCTTCCTCTGTCTGTCTGTCTGTCTGTCTGTCTCTCTCTCTCTCTCTCTCTCTCTCTCTCTCTCTCTCTCTCTCTCTCTCTCTCTCTCCCTCCCTCCCTCTCTCTCCTGCTCAGTGGAGGAGTTGGCAGCCCGTGCAGAGGAGGCGAGGCGGATGGAGGGGTGCCTGAATGAGGGAAAGCTAGCAGAGGAGAAAATAAGGTAAAAAGGGAGAGAGGGAAAGAAGCTTCCCCTCTTATCCCATTTCCCATCGTCCCCTGTGTAAGCTCAGTAATCAAAAACATTTCGCTTTTTTACATGCGGCATACAGTAGGCTGTTTAACTGAACATGTGTTGAACAGAACAGCCCTAAGCTCTAAATACGTACATTGTTTAAGAGAGTCTACAAAGCAAAATGCCTAACTTCTAGGTCTATCATACATTATCTGAAAACCAACTGAAAATGGCTGTTCTGTTTGGCATATTTTCGTTCCTGAGTGAATCTAACAGAAATATCAAAATGTGTATCGATGGGACACGGTAGGTAAGCAGATGTTAGGTCATGGAGTTCAGAGTTCAGAGGTGAGACCCCTGGTTGACCCCGGTGTGTCACCAGAGCTGCGGTGATGACATCAGCAAGCATGTATCACCCAGCGGAGTGTGTGTTTGTGTGTGTCTGTTTGTGCGCACATAGTTGTGGTTGTGGCTTTGGCTTCGACATGACCTCACTGCAACGGTCTCCGTCTTAGGGAGTTTCTTGGTTAAGTTGAGCCATGGAACATTTTCATCGTCAACCGGCAATTTAAAACTCGGCATGGAGACTTTATAGGTTACATTCTGAATTATTGCATTTTATTACATTTAAACCAATTTTAGATACCGAATGGTAAAACAATTGCTGTGTCTGCATATTATATCCATTTGCAGAATCATGCTGTTTACTGTTAACCCAGTATTATCTAATAACTGCAAAGACATGAAAGGTTTTTAAGCAACAACACCATACTAATGGCTTCCATCTGTGCTGTGGGAAATCCCCTCCTTTCTCCACAGGATGCCTCCTCTCTTTCTTTCCTTTCTCTCTCCCACTCTGTTCATCCTATCATGTGTTCTCTCCATGGACCGATCTATCAGGCATTTTCTTTCCTTTTTGTTTTGGCTGTTCTGCTCCTGCTTCAGCTTTTACTACCACTGAGTTACTCTATTAGTATCTGTTTTAAGTTTAGTGCTGATACATTAAGTCAGTTAATGTGTGTGTTGAGATGCAGACAGATAGTCAGCTATAATTTATTTGGAATATATATTTAACAATTTGTGTTTTACATCTTTTGAAAAGATAATTAATTAAAATTGCCAAGCTTTTGCTGCTTATGCCTTCACAACTGCAAAGATTCACTTTTTTCTATCATTTTATGATTAATACTGTAGTTTTGAGTTTTTTAAATAAAATGTTCTAAATAATCTTGGGGGTGTACTGGTAGCCAAGGGGTGTCAGATGTTGACCATAAAATTGTAGTGTCTCCAATTCCAGTCCAACTGGGGATCTTCAGCTGATTTCTAGCTTTCTACTATATACTTTATAAATATAAATATAAATATATACTTACTAAAAATAATAAAATGTAAATAAATAAAATTAAAAAAATTAAAATACTTTGAACTAATTACTTTTGATTTAAGTCTTTTTTTAAAAAGTAAAAATGACAAGACTTCTGTGGTTCCTGCTTCTTTGGACTGTTGGTCGGACAAAACATGTCATTTGAACAAATTACTTTTGATTGTGGGAAACTGATGGACAGTTTTCACTGTTTTCTGACATATTATATATGAAGTGATAAATCAACTAACCAAGACAACAATCTGCAGATTAACTGTAATAATAATTGATAGTTGCACCCTTAACAAAATGTGGGCTTTAGTAACTAGTGGCAGTTAATAGACTAAATGATTAGCTGAAAAAATATAAAATGATGTATAGGGTCAGAGAGCTAAATATTAAACTGTGCATTAATTTTGGGATGTGTCAATTTAACACAAATGCCAATATAAACTAATAAATTCAAATGCTGACTGTGTGCTCTTTCCCTGCATAGTCATTCTTGTTTTAACTGTAAAATCCATAAATATACTAACTTCAGTTCACTGTACCAAAACTTTTGCCTGTCCGAGGTCCAAATGTTTTTTTACTATTCATAAACTTGTAATTTTTCATTTCTATATTTGCTTTTAGAGATGTGGGTCAACAGTAGGGGTGGTTTGTTTTGGTCTGTGTGTGCATGTGGAGGGGGTTTGTCGGGGTGTCGAGGCTCACTGAGCGGCCAAAGCGAGGCTGTGGAGGGAGGTTTGTGGAAATGGTAATCATTTGTCGTATTGATCTCGCTGTAGCCAGGGCAGCTGGCACACACAAACTCACTCGCGCACATGTACACACACACTTGTAGACACTAACTGACTCACATACACACAGACGCGCAGTTGCGTGGCAGGAATAGACCCCTTCATATTGATCCCCTTCACATTCCCTTAGCTTGGCTGCCACACACACACTCACACATACACACACATACTCACACTTTCTGCGCCTATATCAAACACTCCCCTAAATCTGGATTTTCAGGAAACTTAATATTGGAATTAAGTACTTGGAATTAAGTATGTATTTTTGTGTTTGTTTTTAGGAATATTTTTGGTAATAATGAATGTAAAAAAAATGAAATGAGTTTTAAAGAAAGATATTGAGATGACTAAAATATAGTGACAAATTTGTATTAATTCACCTGATAGTAAGTAACATCAATAGTTTTTTTATTTGTGTGTGCAGGTCAATGGCTGTGAGGCTGGAGACGGAGGTGGCAGAGCTCAGGAGGAATCTGCAGCATGCTGTCGATCACAAACTCAAGGCAGAGCGAGAGAAACAGGACGCACAGGACCAGGTAAATAAATACACACCACACCTTAGTGACATAGCCAATGTAAGTAACATATTTGTGTTTGTTTGAATCGGCTTGGAGCGGAGCGCAGGGAAGGTGTTTGTCATCTGAACCATTGAGATACTGTCTGTACTCACAGAAAGCTATAGCAATTTTACCACTTAATATTATTTAAATGTAATTATCCAATCTGTCTGCCAGTCAGCATATTGATTTCTGTAGTTGACCCGGCGCTTTTCACACTTAAAGTGGGTTAAAGAAGGTTGTTCTAAGCCTACTGTACTACATAAACACAAATATTTATACCCTTATGTGAAGGTCTTCTCTCCTATCATGCCCTCCAAGGTCTTCCTCCCCTCTCCTCCCATCCGCTTCTCACTCCCTGCACTCCCTTCTTACCTTTTTGATGATTAGTGGCATATATCCGGTGCTAGAGCCCGGATTATCTTGTCCAAGACAGGGAGGGGTGTATGCGGGACCTAAACCTGGCAAGGTGATTTGGAGCGTTAATTCCTGGGTGTAATATTCCCTGATATTCCCTAATGTTCTGGCTGCGAGTGGGGGGTGGGGGGTGGGGTCTCCGGGGAGAGCGGTTGTCAGAGCTGAGCCGCCGCTGTACAAAGGCAGAATGGATAATTAAGGGTAAAGCCAGGACAGGGAAGTGATGTTCATTTAGATTCGACAAAGTTTGAATTCTGTCTTAAGCTGCCGTGCACTGTGGTGCTCTCTTGGATCTTGATTTTGCATTTAGTTCAGATTCTTCCTAAAGTTTTCTCCTTTTCTCTCTCCCTTTTCTGCTTTTCTGTTGCGTTATTTTTCTCTCTCCTGTTTTCCGCCCCTCTCTATTCTCACTCTTTTTTTCCTACATGTTTCCGTGTCTTCTTCTCTCTCCGTTTCTTTCTCTTTCACTTGCTCTCCCTCGTCTTACACTTTTTTTCACTCTGTCCTTGTGAATAATGCAGCCCGCATAGCATGGTTCTCCTTTTTTTCTCTTAGCATTAGTGCACCAAGGTTTGACAATAGTGATTGCCCAGGGCCAGTAAGACACTGACTTAGGCCAGTTGATTGGTCAGTCAATAGCCAAGCCAGTGCTCGCCAAGGGTTCTTCATCTATTTCTGTATGTTGAAAATTCTTTCATCTCTTTTCTCTGTTGTACAATTTCTGATCAAACACATTGCAAGACATGTCAGAGTTAGTCATGGATCTGTCAGGTCAGAGTCTTGCATGAGGAAGGCATGGTAATAGCTACTATGGTATGAATATAAGCACAAAGTAAAGCTCTATCTTATATAAAATAATCAACTTGATGTTCAATACCATTATCTGTATTCCAAAATTATGCATTATAACAAGTTTTCATAAAGCAAGAACTTCAATAACTAATTTTGTTAATTTCATTAAAATTGGCCCTTATTGATTGTTTTGAATAATATATTTTTTAATGATAAATTGATAAAATGAAATTGATTGACTTTCACTGAAAAATCTTACTCACTGTAAACAATATTGTGATATTACCAACCCTTACTCTAAAACGTATGATTTTTACTATTTTCAGATCAAGTTTTTCTCATTATTAAAGCACCAGGTTCACATTTTGGGAAATATGCTTATTCTCTTTCATGCCAAGAGTACAGTGGACAGTATATCTGCTCGGTAGCAGATTAGCTTACCTTAGAATAAAACTGAAAACAGGGTAAAGTAGCGAGCCTGGGTCTGTTCAAGTGTAACAATAAGCACCTACTCGCACCTATAAAGCTCACTACATAACATGTAGTGTACATTTTGTTTGTTTAATCAAAGTGTGAAAACATCAAGTTGCGGCTGTCCGTGGGTTATGTGATATTAATTCTTAGCTTGGAATAGTGACTTCCTAGACATGAGGTTGCCAGCCAACCAGAAGCGAGTCTAGGAACTTTGGCAGATCGAGGCTAGCTGTTTCCCCCTGCTTCCAGTCTTTATGCAAAGCTAAGCTAACCGGCTGCCGACTGAAGCCTTATGTTTAACGGTAATTTGAGGGCGTTATCGGTTTTCTCATCTAACTCTCGGCAAGAAAGTGAATGACCTTATTTCCCAGTATATCAAACTATTCCTTCAAGGCATTGATACTACAAACAGATGCTTTGCCTGTAACAACAGCCAGCAGCATCTAGTTACTCTGACAGTAAAGCACACAGTGCAGTGCCCTATCACCTGGCACTAATGGGCTGACAAACTAGAGGAATTCAGAAACATATAGTTCATGGAGTTCCACTCTGGTTTTTGTTTGGTTGATTACTGTTTAAGAAAAGCTTTAATTATTTGTTGAGCTCTGAAGACTCGGTGTGCAAAATGAACGCAGTGTTTAAAGTACAACAAAGGTCATTTGATACATGATCTTTTTAAAGGATTCAACCAATCAACTTTATACTTTTTGTTTATTTTATGCCTGCACTTGCAGTAAACAGTATGGGAGTGCGTGTATCTGTATGTTATCTGGCTGGTCTCCTGCACTCATACACAATCCCTCACATTTTCCCTTGCCGTCTTCCATCATCTCAACAACAGATGAGCTTTTCAATGAATTTGACTCCAAACAGTGTTTAAACACCAGTGTGATGGCCGCTCTGACTATGACTCCTTCATTAGGTCCCAATCTCTGTTATTGACCAGCAGAAGATGAATTATCTGCTGGTGAAAAAAATCAAAGGGTTTGAAATGGTAAATGGTACACTACAGTGGCCTATAGAGGAAATCTATATTACAAATTGCCTCGGTGCACAGTAGCTGAACCTCAGATAGCTCTGTCTTTCTCTGTGTGTATGTCTTTGTATGCAACAGCGTGTATATGTGTGTGTTTATGGTGTGTGTGTTACATTTAGAGTCTTGTTTGTGTTTTCTGGGTCTGTTTAGTGTTTTTCTGATACTAGTGCAGTCCCCGTTCAAAACATGCTGGTTCGGAACGGGCCGTTTGGTCGGCCTTCGGTATTGCTGCTTACATCTTTCTCAATATCATCGACCTGCAGAGCCCGAGAGCCCCCTCAGTTCTAGACGCAGCAGTTCCAGCGCCACCAGTCTCCCTGACCCCAAAATTACAATTACCTTCAATTGACTGAATGTAGGCCAAAGACGCACTGTACACACGGAAAGCAAAATGTACAATCGTCAAAAGTCTAACGTTATCATCATTTGCGGGAGATGCTGAAAGAAAAGCCTGCGATTAAAAAATAAGTTTCCCCCAGGCATAACTGTGTATGAACGAAATGTTTACCGCTATATTATTACTATTCATAAAATTCAGGAATTACCCCAGGTACCCCAAGTTATAGCTGGTTCCAAAGGCCTTACAAAGGATAGGCTGACATTATTTATTGGAGGTAGCTATCTACATGGCTCTGGATATAACGTGGTCTCGCTCATGCATACATACGTCGAAAGCTGTGGGTTGACAACTGCTGGAGCTCTCTGGCTCCGCAGGGCGATGTTTCTCAGCTTTTTTGGGAACTCATCCAAACTACTACACACTCAACACCGCACTTCCTGGGATCCTCAGGAATACAACCGCCAAGTCTGAAGTCCTTCTGACGGTTGTCGAGAATATCGAAGGACATACAGACTGTTTCCTTCAGTTTTAGGGAGATGAAGGAAAGGATTTGCATGATATCCACCATACAGTTTTGTGTTTGCACACACACACACACACACACACACACACACACACACACACACACACACACACACACACACTTACTTCACTCGACCCTGTCCCTCTGCATGAGTCCAGTTCAAATAAAAGTTGTGGTAAACACGAGGCATGTTTTTGTGACTGATCAGATCATCCCTCACTCCTTTTCCCTCTCTTTCTCTCTTTCTCTCTCTCTCTCTATGCCACACACACACACACACACACACACAATCACAGTCATTAGTGTGTTTACCTCAACTTCCTTTAGCATGGAGTAAAATATTTCAAACAGTTTTAATGAGAATTTGCAGAGAAGTTTTCAGAAAGCAAAAGTTTATAAGCATGTTTTCATTCCTATAAACTTTTCTCAGTTACCCCAAATCTTTACAACTATTGATGTCATTCTATAGAAATACAATTAGATAGTAGCTTTTAATCACTATGAGTCAGTGGGGGATCTGCCTAGTGATTAGAGAAACAAGCCTGCTAAGTATCCTTGAACAAGACTCTGAATCTCAAAAATACACAGTTTTAGTCTGCACAGTGGTTGGACAGTGGGGTGAGCGAAGCCAAATGTAATTTGCTCCAGTTTCCTCCATTTTCTTCACCACTCCAGCAGTTATAGACTGTGATTTAGCTGCGTAACGTTGCTGTTATCTAATAATTTATGTATAAAATAACGGAAAAAGACAAATTTTTACCTTTAAGTATCTTTGTGGGTGAACGTCGCAAACATGAGCGCGTAGTATTTTCATTTTTGTGATGCAAAAGGGAGTTGGTCTCTGGAACGGTATTATGTTCATTGATCTCACTCATTATACCTGATAGAGGCCCACAGCCTGGCCTAATTAGCTTAGAATGACCCACACTAGATCACCGTTTTTACACATGCACACACAAACACACACACACACACACACACACACACAGGTTTGATAATGGAGAAATGAGGACAGACAAATGAAGCTCATTTGTTTAGTTGATGAATAAAGAGAAGTGGTCCAATTGTCTGACTGTTTAACCATGGAATGGACTTTTACTATTTGTTCAGCGTGTGTGTGTCCTCGTGTCCCATTACCCTCAAGCACAGCTCATTAAGCTACAGTCCTGTAATTCATTTGAGAGATGGGACGGACAGTCGAACAGACAAACCGACTATTTTCTCACGTTTTTGTGTCCTTCTTAGCTGTCACATTGTTTGTTTTTTTTTACCAAAGAAGGTGTCTGTGTTTCTGTGCATGGATGTGGATGAAAAGTTGTTGTATGCAAAGGTTCATGGGGGTGGGGGGGGGGGGGCCTATGGGGCATGATGATTTTAATTAAGCGCATGAAATATAT